AACTGTAAGCATAATTCACCTTCAAACATAAGGGATTCTTCTCAGCATTCTCAAAGTTCCGCTGTAAATTTGGTCGTTCGTTTAATTTATCTTATATTTTTTTAATTGCCACGTGAGTTTTGTTTTTATGTCTATTTTTCTTCAATTCTTAAAATTCCCGTGTAATATTACTAGGTACTTCTTTATATTCTATTATTATTTGTGAATTTTCGTATTAATTTGTTGGATCTGTTGATTTTTGTCCTGCAATATATAACTGATGATGAAACTATGCTCCTAAATGAATTCAATGCATATGTGGTGAACATACTTGACGTTTTGTTTGCTGCAAAATTCTTCCCGTATAAGTAGTGCATCTTTGGTTTCTGTTCATATCCGTAAAACTTTCGTATTAATATGTTGGATCTGTTGATTTTTGTCCTGCAATATATAACTGATGATGAAACTATGCTCCAAAATGAATTCAATGAATATGTGGTGAATATACTTGACGTTTTGTTTGCTGCAAAACTCTTGCTTCAGTTGAGCAAGGCTGAGATCAATGAAAGTTCAGAAGACAATCGTGACCGCATGTGGTGCACGACTATGCATCGTGAGACAGCGTCCAATACATTGTATAAAATTAAGTATTACATCTTGATGCAACAATTTAGCTTTGATTTTTATATTATTCAATTTTTTAGCGAATTTTATTTCTATATTTGTTCTTCAGTTCATAATTGCAAAATAAACTATTTGTCCATGTATATATAAGTTTGAATGCCTGAATATGAAAGAAAATGTAAATAACTTATAGTAGTATAGTATAGTATTGTAGTATAGTATAGTAGTATAGTATCTTCGGCATTGAAGAATATGCCTGGATAGGCCTGTCGCCGATTCATGTTTTTTTCTCGACTATACTGGCCTTATATTCAAATCTTTTCACCCGCCTATACGTTCAGAATCTTTTCAAAATTTCAGTTGTTCCGAAGGATACGAGGCATTTCAAGACTAAACATATGCTACTGCATGGCCTTGTCTAGTCTGTTCTTGAACGCGATCATAATAAATAAAGCTACGCACTTGACAAGACTCAATTTCCAGCTCGCCCTGAGCAATATCAAGCTTTTCAACTTGAACTTTTATCACGTTTAAACTTAAGCACGTCATGCAATGCTGCAATCATTCCCTGGTCAAGCGGGTGAAGTTGAACTCAGCAAATCAGACGTCGTATATTTTTATTCAGAGATTCAAGTGACCGCGACATTTGTGCGTCTGCGCAAGTCTTTCGTGCGTAACAAGAGTCACGTGGGCAGACACGCATTGCGTAAATCGTGTCGGAACACTGGCAGTGCAAGGCGTTATATACGCAACATATATAACACGAGGCGTTATATACGCGACATATTTAACGCGAGGCGTTATATACGCAACATATATGAAGCTAAGCGTTAAATGCGCAACGTGTATAATGCGAGGCGTTATACACGGAACATATATAAGGCGAGGCGTTTTATACGCAACATATATAACGCGAGACTTTATATACGCAACATATTTAAAGCCAGGTGTTTCATACGCAACATATATAACGCGAGGCTTTATATACGCAACATTCGCAGTGCGCGGAAGCGGGTATGTTGGTCACCGTGGCACGACGCCGCGGTTGGGGGCTCCCCTGGGGGGGTCGGGGGCTACCTGTGGACCCCTCCCCTGTTATGGATATCGCTGACCCCTCCCTCGCTGGATATGCCAGCGAGAGGGCTGGCATATTAGTTAGTGGATGTTTTACTGAGTATTTTTGGGCTATTATTAAACAATTAATTATTAATTAAAAAGTTTGAGTGCAGGTTTAATTAATTAGTGCCTAAATACGCCAGTAATCCATATGAATAAATTCATAGCAGGAGCGCCACCACGTGGCCTCATGCCAGCAGAGTTAACGGCCAAGATTTTTTTTAAAGGCCTCCCACACTCACCATTCCAACAAAAAAAAAAGAATTAATAATAATTAATTAATAATATTATTATTATTAATTAATATTAATTATTAACGGCTAAGATCCGAGCAAAATTATGGCCTATTGAATAATGGTTTCTTCTCAGCTCACAAGGATTGCGTTTAAACCATTTAAGGATTCTGGTTTATTATGTAATTTTTACGTCAGTAATCCAACTATTATGCTCCAACATGCCCACCATCAGGCAGGTCATGTCCATACATGATATCAATAAAGCAAACAAGATCGTCACAGTCATTCCTTAAAGAACGATCGTACGCTTCCAAATTTGCTCTTACGATTATTGCGAAACCATATTCGTGGAAGCAATTATCGTCATGAAAATTAGATCGAAGTATAAATAAATAAACATCGTTAGTTATCAGCAGGAGACTTACAATCACCATGACATAACAATAATAATAATAATAATAATAATAATAATAATAATAATAATAATAATAATAATACTAATAATAATACTAATAATAATAATAATAATAATAATAATAATAATAATAATAATAATAATAATAATAATAGCGGTTTCAGCGTTTATTAGGCCGTAGGCCTGCCGCCGATTCTTAACATCGCAGAACATTCACAGCATTTTGCGGTCTCGAACTCGCAACTCACTGCTACAATTCTGCTGTGCGTGCTTAATCGCTCGGCCTCCTTGCCGATTCTGACCAGAAACTGGTGCACAGAGCTGAGATCGAACGCAATCGACATGTACGATCGTTGGAAAAGAATCAAAATTGAACGCTGTAAAGGTCCATAGCAACAGCTTTGTTCCACAGCCCACCAATTGGATTACACAAAATGTTCATTAAAATACCAGCTCAGTGTTCCCGAGGAAGTCTCTACGCACGTTCGCCCAGACGGCTACAGTATTCCTGCACCCATTATACATGAGGTGACATTCCTGAGCCGCAACCCAATCCCTTCTTGCAATACCTTCAACAATCCACGTGCTTTTGCGGGGCCAAAATGCTACTAAAGTTTTTTACTTAGTGCATAAACCTTCAATTTTGTCAACCACTGAATTTTTAACCTTAAATAGAATCGAATAAAATGGAGGCTTTATTGTGGTTTTACAAATGTTTGGCATGTGCATTTGGGTTAAATGAAAATAATTTTCGAAGACAGGAAATGAACTGTCCATTGTTATTTGGGTTTTAAATTTCTGAACGAATATAGAAGAGCGTCATTTTTTTAAATGTAGTTTAATTCATGTTTTATTTAAGAACACGACTACGCTTTTGGGACGAATTTTTGGAACAAATTTTTACAGTTGATTTTTATCGCATAATCCTTTCGTAACGGCAATGTGTCCTACAACTTTTTATTCGTATTTTTTTACCGAATCATCATGAACTTGGACCGAATATTGCCTCTCCGTAAAAAATAATTAAATATATGTTAATGGTAAAAATTATATAATTGGGACTAGAAAATCCTGGTAGTATATGGTTCCAAATGAGGTGACACAATTTGGGACATCACTGATTTGATAAAAAAAAACATTTTCGTAATATTTTTTGTTAGTAGTTGAATAATATCATAAACTTCCATTGGCAAACGCGTGTAATAGCTTATATAATAACATATCCCAAAAAGAACAAATAATAATATTCTTTTAGATTGGACATATGTAGTCGCAGGAGTGTTTCTTCTATGTCTCTGTAGTTAGCTATGCCTTGAATTTAGCGCTACATGCAAGTTATAGAGTAAATCGTTGGGCGGGACGTCGCAGTCCCGTCAGCCAATTACTTTTGAGTTGATATAGGCACAGGAGTGATACTCATGTGTCCCTGTAGTTAGCTATGCCTTGAATGGTGCGCTGTGTGCAAGTTATGGAGAAAACATTGAGTGGGACGTCACAGTCCCGTCAGTCACGAAAGGGATAAGTTCGTCACATCGGATCCGGTCAGGACCGAATTAAATTGTATGCGTATAACAATTACTTATTAGAGACAACACTAGTAGAGAGGCCAGCGTCTCCGATGTTACTCATGTAAATTGAATTTTTTTAATATATTTAAAAATTATTTTTTAACGTATTTCCAATAAATGAAATAAAATTTTTTATTTATTCAAATTATCTATTCTGTCAGGTGGTTCATGCATTGTCTCAGACTTTACGCAAGTGTGCAATATTTCAGATCGATTAGACAGGTAGAAGTGTGTCAAGTTTCGATTACAAGATTTGTAGCAGACAAACAAACAACTAAGAAGTGAAATTAAGGAGAAATGTTGTGAAATATATAAATTTATTGACATTATGCTCATGCTAGGCTCGGTATAATTTTTTTGTCCGTTTCGATTTTAATTATCGCGATAAACGCAAAGTTTGAGCAGCTTTACGCGCATATGTTCGTCAAATGGAAACTGATCTTGACCTAATTAACAACGATGCTATTTATTAACGTGACGCTTCTGCAAGCGTTGTCAGAATTTTTTTCTCCACTATGTTCTCACGCAATGCACGAAACGTTAAGCGTGAAAAGGAGGCTAAAAAGTTGTGCGCGTGAACTTAAAAAAAAAACGAAAGTTACGACAACACTTGCAAGAGCGTATTGTGAATAAATAGCTTCGTTGTTAATTTGGTCCAGGTCAGTTCCGATTTAACAAACTAATGCGTGATATAACTGACATGGAAATTCGTCTCAAAATTCGTCCCAAAAATTCGTCCACAGGTTTCGATATGGTTGCGAGGGCGGCGGTAAAGGTGTCCGAGAGGTCTAATAAATCACATTAGTTTAAATCTGATGGGATATTTTGGAAAATGTTTGCTTCCTCTTTTTGATAGTCACGTTATTAAAAATATAAGTGAATTGGATATTCATTAAATGTTCATTCGTATATAAGTGTGGCCTACAATTTGAACATCCACTGACAACTGCATGAACATCAGTTTCTTTTTTCTCGCATTTGAGGACAATGTTCATGTTTGATTGCACCCATTCTTAGCGTATATAATATGTGTGAAATGTCTTTTGGCACACTTCTCAGCTGTTTTTATTTTTCATCCTCGCATCGCAGTGTTATTGTGTGGCAACACTCAGTCAGTTGAAATATCGTGAAAAGCTTGGTGAGTCTCTGTGATCAAGCTATGTAATTCAGGCTATTTATAAGTTAAAACTGAACTATAAACTATTGGCTCTTGCTGTGATAATTGTCAAATTGCATTCATTTTGTCTTAGGAATTGACGTTACCACTTCAGTCACAAACACAATGGCAGCCGGAAAGAATAAGCCGCTTGCTATGATGATACATGCCACTGATGCTAGATCCTCAGACGTCTAAATCTACTAATAGCCGCTAACTTCATTAAACCAAATATACAATTTTTCCTTTCTTAACTTATGAGTAACTTCAAATATATTTGCAGCAAATGCACATAGGTTTAGTGAATGGATATGCAACCGTACTGACTACTGATTGCATCATTTGCATGTCCAAACTGTATAGCTAACTCAAGTTAGGAAATATCTAGGCTATTCACTATTGATCAAAGATTGTGCAGATCTCGCAGCAGATGTTTATATACTTTATGGCCAATGAGTAAATTGAGTATGTCACAAGCTCTGACAAGAGTTTCCACAACCCCATGTCAAAAGCCTATAACCAGGATGATCTTTCACTAATTTATAAATCAAAATAAACTACTATTATTATAATTTGCTAGGCTAGTAAGTAGTAGTAACATTTTAATACCTAGCTGTGCAACTGCCACTGCCATACTTTTCTCTTTAAACAAATGTCTATTTATAATATAGGTAATAATATATTTATATATAGTTAGTAGTTTAGTACCTATACACTGTGAGTCTGTGACCTGTGTATATTTGTTGAACTTGACTGTCTTGACAGTTGACAATTGTACCTATTTTTACATGCAGTACTAGTACAGTAGTAGTAACAGTAGGCTAGTAAGGCTATAGCTACTCACCTACTCTTTCAGCAGTCAGCACATCAGTTGCATTATAATTCACGAGTTTGATCATAGTGCTAAAGCCTTTTATGTAAATGATACATTTTTGACAATGCCTTTCTTGTCAAATGAAAAATATATATATTGCAATTGAGCAAACATTATAAAATTTGCAGAGAATTCATAAAAAATGAAAGTTTGAATGTAAGAAGGAGGCATCTTGAAACTTGAGTCACTTGAGCTAGCCTATACAAAATTTTTGTCACTCATTTGGTTACTAGGACTGTCTAGGAGCAAAAGACAGCTGAGCCAATTGGCAAAGAAGCTAAGTAAACATGTCAACAAGCAAAATGACATTAAAATATGTAACTGTATGGATTGTTTCAACAAATGAGTTGGGAGTCTGAAAGAAAGCAGTCAGTTAAGCACAATATATGCTACAGAAAGCCTACAGACAGGCTAGACAGCTGCAGTGGGTCTAGAAGAAAATCCACCATGTAATGTTTTTGTTATTTTGCCATGATCTGCATGTGGGTTTTGCACATACCTTGGCACTGTTTTTATTGGTAAACAGGGGTTTGTTTTGAGCAGGCTAGTTTTGCACTTACCTTGGCACTTTTATTGGTGAGCAGGGGCTAGCTGTTGTTGTTATTGTTGTGGTTCTTCAGTCTCATTTTTATAAGACCCCCCTCGCCCAAGTAGGACACCACTGACAGGGAGTCGCTCCAGAGCTGTAGGGTCGAGGTTATGTGGTGATATTGTCGGAGGTCCTGCCAGAGCAGACATTCCAGGAGAATGTGAGTGATTGTGTGGGGAGCTCTCTGGCAGGATGGGCAGGTGTCTGTGTCTGCTTGGCCTATTCTGTTTGCGTATGTGTGTTATGAAGGGTGGTGGCGCAGCCTGGCTAGGTGTACTCTTTCCAGTTTAGAGAGCTGTGTTTCTGTGCTGCCTAAGTTGGGAGCTTGAGTGCTCTATCTTGTTGAGCAGGGGCTAATTGAGAACTTGAGTGCCCTATCATGATTCCATGAAGCAACTTGTGTGTCATTGATTTGAAGAGTTCATTAATCTGGCATTTGTGTGATAAAGGCATTTATCCATTTCTACACAGATTCTTAATCTATAATCTTTCTTGCTGATTTTAACATGTTGAATGTTGTGTCTTCTCTATGTAATTTTTGTATTGCTTGGTCAATTTACTTGAAACCTCCAATATGATGGAAAGACTTTTATTTAATATTTTTTTCATATTCTAACAGGCCCAGTAAAGCTAAATACAAGTCCCAAGATGCGTCACTTGGCTGCATACCTGCTTGCTGCTCTCAATGCTGATGGCAACACACCATCCATAGATGCCATCAAGAGCATTCTTGGCAGTGTTGGAGTTGAGGCTGATGAAAAACAACTGGAGGTTCTTGTGAAGAGATTTGCTGGTGTCAATATTGACAATGTGACCAGAGAAGGTAATTATTTCAATGCCAAATGTGCTAATAAATATAAAAGGAATTGGACAATTCTGCTATTGCTGGCTATTTACTTCCGTTCAGTTGATTGCTTTTCTGTCATGCAAAAGAAACCTCAGTGTATTCTCAATTAGCCATGTTTTTGTTGATTTCAACTTGTTAACTTGCATCACTTGGGACAGATTTTAAAATAGATATTTTCCAGTATGTATTGAAAGCCTGTCTATCATGTCATTTGTCAAGCACTTTGCAACTAATTTACCTTCTTTTGATATAAGAAATTTTATAGTTTTTAAAATTTCTTCTAAAGATTAATTTCTTTCCTATTGATGTAGAAGGTATATTGTTGCTATTGTTTTTTTTTTTTTTTTTAGTTTGAAAGTCAGGCAATTTTTCCTTTAAGCTGCTAAGGAAAACTTGCTTGTCAACTATTGTTAGAAAAAGTGAGTGTATATTTTTATTGATTTTTCATTTGTATGTGAGATTATCCAAGGTATATTGGGTCCAGGCAGTGGCAGATGCTGCTCAAATTCTCAGATAGAAAGTGGTTTATGTCTAATTTTTTTCACTCTGGGTGTCTTGACTTCTTGACTAATCACGTGTCATTGAGTGAGAATCACTGATTGTTCATTGGGTTTATAAGAAATCTACCTTAGTAGAAGGTGTGATTGATCAAGTTTTTTTTCATTTTTCTACTAAATAAGAAGCTACAAAATTTGCTCAAAGATTGCTTAGATGGCAAATGGAGCAGAGAACTGCCTCTTTTTGTATTGATCATACCTACATATATATTTATGGATCCAGACATCAATGTATGCAGTCAATTGTGTTGTCTAATGTCATAGTGCTTGCTAGGCTCAGTTTAAATGTAGAGGCAATATGACATTAGTTTGCTGTTGAGTGGAAAAGGTAATGCTTTCTTCTAATGACCGTCATTTATTTTTTTTTTTTTTTTGTCAAATGAGATGCTTAGAATGTATTCGAATATAATTTTTTTTGCTGTTGATATTGAATATTGGAATTTAATTCTAATTGCTGCAAGTCCTCGCAAAACTTATGAAGTGCCATGTTGATGACTTCATTAATGAATCATTTTTTCTGTGGCACTGAAATGCAGCAGCTTTAGTGTAGAAAAATGTCTCTGCAGTTGTGCTTCTTCATAATTAGATTCTCATCATGTAATGATTAAATGATTCTAACTGTAAACGTGATTATTATTTATTGTTGTGTTTTGTTCTAGGCATGACAATGTTGGCATCAATGCCCAGTGCTGGTGGTGCTGTTGCTGCAGCTGCTGCTGGAGGTGCTGCTGCTGCTGGTGGCGACGCCGCGCCTGCTGGTGGCCAGGGTGAGACTGGATATTGTTTCTTTTATATTGCGTCAACTTCTTGTCTTGTCGGTGAAACTAAAGTGTTTGTCTTGTCGGTGAAACTAAAGTGTATGTCTTGTCGGTGAAACTAAAGTGTTTGTCTTGTAGGTGAAACTAAAGTGTTTGTCTTGTCGGTGAAACTAAAGTGTTTGTCTTGTCGGTGAAAATAAAGTGTTTGTCTTGTTGGTGAAGCTTAAGTGTTGTTCAGCAAAAATTTAATGGCAAAGAAACTGAAATTTTTCGTGTTTTCTTTGCTTTTATATTTTTGGTGTACGTGCAATTTAAGTAGACTAATGATAAAAATTGATATACTGATACACTGATGTTATATTGCCCGTTCAATTCTATTCAGCTCGATTGAGATTCGACGGTTGACCGAGAATTAGATGATGTACTTTAAATTAATGTTTGACTTATTTGATGTTCTACTAATTTTGGATATCAAACTTGTAATTAACTACTAACTAACCTTTCTTAGTGACCAAAATATAGTCAATTTCTGACCAATATTAATATTCATTTTAATATGAAGTAACTCTACTGCAAAGGCTTATTTCGACATTTTTATAGTTCTACATGCGCGCATCTGTGCCTTTACTCTATGGAGTTACTCGATACGATTGCTAACCACTGCGTTGAAGAAGTTACTGTAAGCTGTAGTGCTATGTTAATGCTAGTCTTGATTTTGCAGCTGCAGCCTCCAAGAAGGAAGAGAAGAAGGAGGAGCCTGAAGAAGAATCTGATGACGACATGGGCTTCGGTCTTTTCGATTAAATATGGCCGTGCGCTTACGTGGAGCACTTGCTTTCAATTTCCTTAGTCGCTTTGGTAACATACGGTGTATTTATTTCTTATTGCCGCGTGTACCCTTGGAATAATCGCCGGCTTTGGTAACATACTGTGTATTCGTTATTGCCGCGTGTACCCTTGGAATAATCGTATCAATATTCATGATTTAATCCAACGATAGGCAAGATACTTTAACTGAATTCCCGAGTGCTAATCGCTCTAAATCTCTGCAGAATCATCTAGTTTCCCGTGCTCTCGAATTCCTATTGCGTTACGATCTTTCTTATTTCCATGCCCTGATCAATTAACCAGTTCGTACGAGTTACAGGGCAAGCGAGTGAGATCTAAGACAAAGTCCGCTCAAGAGCCTCGCGCAACTGTCACGAAGTGTACTACGACTCATTTCATGTACGGATGTGCCGGCAGATGATCGCTTCTCATTTACTCAAGTGTCCTTCGTACAGTGACATTTAGGTTTCTAGATGATGTGATTGAAATTCTACCTACATCTGGCCTCGCAACATTTAGTTGATTTCCGTCCTGAAAATAATGTGGAACATTTTTCCCTAAATTTAAATGGCTAGCCCATGGTTCCACTAAATTCACTAGTCTGAGTTTGAGGCTAGAATTTCAGTGAGTTAGATCAGGGGTCTCCAAACTTTTTTCACCAAGGGCCAAGATCAAGCTTACTGAAACCTTCGCGGGCCAGAGAAGTTCGTGAGCGGAGGGAAGAGCAGCATGAATTACGAATAAAATTCGATAGTCAAAATTAGCTCACGAATAACTATTTTATTCTGCACTTCGTCTTACGGAGCCACTGTACACTATCTTCCGTCGCTTATTCTTTGCTTAATCTTAAATCTTCATCATTAATTGGCGTGATATGCACGGCTCCTAAATACATAGGGGGCATAATAATTATGGCTATAATTATTAGAGTGTAATCTTGAATAATATTCAACGTGAAACAGCATTAATGAGAGGCATGGAATTGTTTCTTTTCATACAAAATAGCATTGAGTTATAGATCAAAATTACTGCTTCATATCATCAGAATGGATTGTAAATGTTCGTCGGATAAGGCTGCCCTGTAGCTAGACTTGACATACTTCATATTAGAAAATGTTTGTTCACAAAAATAGGTTGTGCCAAAAACGGAAATAGAACTACAAGCAAAGGCTTGTAGATGAGCATACTGCATATTCATCGCTTGGTGGACACTTGTAAAAGTCAATCAGTTTACCTTCTCTGAATCTGTCCTTCAATGCGTCATTGGCTTGCTGATCAACTACTTCCAATTGAAGTTCAGATGGCAAATCTTTAATGGAACAATCAAATGGATTTTGGAAAATCTTAAATTGCTGCAGATGCATAACGTTTTTGACATTGCCGTTTCAGATTGCAAATTATGCCTTGTGCAAATCTTCTTGGTTATGAAGATTGAGTTTCTCGCTCAAACTTTTCGCAACATAAAAGTGCTTGAAACAGTTCCTCATCAACTGGGTGTCAAACAAAATAAAATAGCTTTTGTCGAAACGCCTTCACTTGGGTATACATGTTGCAAATGAGTACCGTTTTGCCCTGCAGTCTAAGATTGAACTCGTTCATGTGTGTGGTCAGATCCACAGAAAAAGCTAATTTCCAATTCTTTTCATCAAGAAAATTTTCAATTTCTGCCCGGAGTTAAAAAAATTGTGACAACATGAACACCTTGCCACAGGCAAGCAAACGAACGGAAGTGTGATACGTAGGTTAAATCTGGATATTCTGCTTCTATCTCCTCCAAGAAAGCACGAAACTAACGATGGTCAAGTCCGTGAGAACGAATGTAGTTTACTATTGAAACAACAAGTTCCATCACAGAAGATAAATCCATATATTTGCCACAGTGCCTGCTGGTGAATAATGCAGTGAAAAACCAAACGCTTGGGAAAGCCCGCAATTGCAGCAGTTTTGTAAATTTGCCCAATTAACCCTTTTCCAAAGGGGCACATGTTTCTTTGACCATCGGTTGTGACGCGCTTGAACCGTTTCTACTCCAGGCCGTACGTAATGCAGGAGAAGGTAAAGTCTACTCTCGACTTCTTCGAAAATTTCCTTGCCTGGTATTGTACCTACCGCGCATGTCGTGCACCGTGGCCAACTCTTCAATCACTTCAAAATCTTCTCTGACCCCACGAACATACAGCAACTGCGAGGTAGAAGTGACATCAGTTGATTCATCAAGCGCGAGAGGAAAGTACTTGAATTTTCTGGCTTTTCTTCGAGTTGAGACACTATATTTATTCCAATATCTTCAACTCGACAAGCAACTGTATTTGCCGAAGGGCTTATAGTTTTAGACAAGTCTACTTTTTCCGGACATAGTTAGTTGGCTGCTTCAATGATGCATAATTTATTTAACTCACCATCGGTCAAGGGCTTCCCTCGTTTTGCCAAAAGATGTAACACACGGAAACTTGCGATTGTTGCAGCTTTATTCTCGGCATTCTTTTTCTCGAACAAAAATTGTTGCGCTGCCAAGTTGTGTCTTGACGCTTCCAGCTTGTCTGCAAGAAGCTTTCCTTTGAGTTACGAATAGTTTGACGAGTGTTTTGTATCATAATGTCTCCGAATGTTGCACTCTTTCAGCACTGCAATACTATCATTGCATATTAACCATAATGCTTTGTTACCAACTAAAGTAGCATGCATCCAACTTTTCCTTTAATTCGCGGCATTCAGAGCCCACATTTCTCTTCTTTCCTGGTCCCGACATTGTCACCTGAAACACTTCCAAACTTGGGTTCACACTGGCAAGCAGACCAGGACGATAATGAACTATGAAATTAAAGGGTCTTGGGTGGTTCATGGCAACATTTGTGTATTTTATCAATTTTTAGAGACACCAATCACACCCATTTACTGTTTTTTAGTTCATGCGTAATCAGAAATAAACGCCACGTTCGATTTTTGTACACATTATGTTGATATAAGAGATACCCTCGGCGGGCCGGATGGAACCAAGCCGAGGGCCGGATCCGGCCCGCGGGCCGTAGTTTGGAGACCCCTGAGTTAGATAACAGATCAGAATCTGAATTCTATGGGTTAAATAAAACGAATAAGTTCCTGTTTACAGTATTAATTACTTCTACGAGGTTAGTACAATTAAACAAAAAATTGGGAGTTTGCAAACTCAACTACAAGGTTTAGGTTGCTGCACAAATGACTAGATAACGAATTTCGAAACGACGATGGGAAAATCTACATATGAGGCCTCCAGACAGAAGAATAGAAAGTGGGGATATAAAATAGATCTACGATAAAATATAGATTAGGAATGAGAACCTACCGTGCAGCTGGCGGTAATGGTTAAATGCATCATACATTAAATTAAAATAAAGCCTGAAGAAATATCTGAAACGGTAGGTGTCGCTAGTGAAGAGCAAAGAAATAATCCAAAGTAAAGAAGTCATCCAATCACCTTTCCGATATGAAATGAGCTCTCCGGTCCTAAACTCAGACCCCATCTTGGATTTAACTTGAAACCGTAACAAGATGATTAGGTTTTCTAATATAACATGATAAGTTCTACTGTGATCGCTATTTTATCCAAAACAAGCAAGATCAATGAATTGTAAAAAGATCCGTTCCGACAACAATTGGCTCAAGGAAGGCAACATAAGCATATACAAAAAAATAGAACGAATGAATATCACAGCAACTTTCGGTGACTACATATCGTAAATTATTAATATTGTTTTGTTCATAGAACTTAGTTAAACTCAGAGAAGTTACAGAGACTAGTTTATGTACTCTTTCAGTTTCAAGAGAGCTCCTAAAAATTCGAATTTATGAATAACGTAACAAAATATACAACAAAAGTGAATAGCTGCAAAAATTGCTGGTTTAAAAACGAAAATATGCAGTTAAAATTGAGATAAATTACCTCGGAGAGATGGAGAAGACGGTATGGATTTTTTGAAACATTATTGAGCTAATTAGCAGAATTTAAGATTCTTCGTAATTATTTTATGGCGGTCTATACGCACAATCGTAGAAGCCAGCAAATGCCAACAATCACACCGCGAAAAGACGAAAAACACACCGTGAAAAGACGGAAAAAAAAACACATTATAAGAGACTTCAGGACTCCTGTTTGTACAAAGCTCTGAGCACAATGTAATCTCGCAGCAGGATATAAAGTGCCCCGAAGTGTGCAGCAAGTATTACAGAAGTGGCCAGTATCTGCTGCCACTGATACAAGGAACACAAGTACATCACGTACGCCATGCAGCTCACGAAGCACAGCAGCAACATGTTCAGTATCACGACGTACACTTTGTCGAACACCCCCTGGTGAAAAAATAGCAGTTAGTAAGCTTTACTCTGCGTTCATATAATAAATTGTGTATTATCTCTTAATATGAAGTCTTATTATCATAAAAAACCAAAGCACATTACCTAATTGATTACTTTGGCATCAGTACGCCTTAATAACTTTAATAATGAAGCGTACTGAAAAGCTGTCATTAAGAATTTGAAACGACCTTCCGATTGTTTGAATATGCCACTAATTTATATGTTCTGTTTCTATACCTAGATCCATTTACTAACACAGACACAATGTTCCTCACGACGTCCACTTCTCATTGTTAGCACATTACCTACAATTAGGCACAACAGAAAAATGCCCTTAGCAAGCGTTCATTTCAAAACTTCACTGAAGATAAATAATATCTGCCATCTCTTCTCAATCAATGAAATTGAATTCGTGCTCAATATTCCTTTTAATTTAGGAGTAAGCTAGACTAATTTACCATCGGTAATTTTGTCCCCATTGTTTTAAAAAGTTACTGATTACTCAACACCTACAATGAAATACAGCAAAATAGTAAAATATAATAGAAAGTCTTACATGAAGTCGCGCATGCGCAGAATTGCCAGGCTCGGCAGAATTAGCAGCGGCTTCAGCTCTGTATACCTGACGGCCGTATTGCACCACTGCACCAGCACCGTACACTGCACTGCTCTGCCACAGCGGTGCACTGGTGGTGCACACGGGACTAACACGTCGCCAGTGTCCGAGGTGTTGCACCGATCTGTGTACCACGTCACAAAACCTGCACATAAACAAACAACTTCACATACTTGCACGATACATGAAAGATGGTTAGACACGAGAGATCTATGTGCCAATGTATGTATGTATATGTGCGTATGTATGTTTATGTACGCATGTACGTATATATATTTTTTTATTTAGTGCGGAGCTTTTCCTCGAGCCATGGGGGTAACCACTTTTTCGATAAATAAAATAAATAGATGGCATTCGGTAGGCCAGGTTCTGTACCACCGATGAAACTCATTGGCTAATCCGTAAAATTAAATTAGAATAAATACTACCGTAGGATGCATGAGTACCATTAAATAGACCCGCCAAGGTGAATTAAATACTGCTTTTAATAATTAACATCGAACTCATAATTCACATCAAGAGTGGATAATTGATCCTTTGTCTAACATAAATATACTGAAAATAATGAGTGATGGATAACTTATAAGTTGAGGATGGCTGAGAATCGCTGAGCAATTGAAGGCAGGATACGGCCTAGAACATAAGAATATCAGATCGCCGTGACATGGTATACGGTCCACGCTACGAAGAGGGTGTGGTGGTGTGGCGACTATCACTGGAGCACCCGCCGGGAACTTTATAGCTTACTCTGTTGGAAGTTTGCAACTTGTACCAGGAGCATTTATTTCTGGTTTCTGATATTTTTTATAGTTTGTCTTTCAGTGTTATTTCCATTTCTGCATTAGATACTAAAATTAAGTTTATTCCGAAGTGTTAACAGCCATTGTTAGCCAATATCGAGAAGACATTTTTATACTTTTTTGGCAGATGTCGGTGATTCGGGTTCATTTGGATTTTCATCCACGAGGCTGAGTCTCCAGAGAAGGCGATTATTCCCTCGTCTGGGTCTTGTAGTCTGTCCCAGTCTCCGGTGTATTCTTGCGTTCTGCTTCGTTATGTACAGTTGGATACTTGGATTATCAGGTCCTTATGTACGACAGCCTGTTCATTCCTCCGGATCGCACCGGGGTATGCTTGGCGGGGCATCGAGTGCAAAAGGCGCATCTAGAGTTCATTTTCAGCGTTTGGGTTGTTTAAGTCGTCCGACACGCTGATCAGCACCCGAGTATCTGCCTCGAAAGTTTATTTTCAGGGTCCGGGTTGTTTAAGTCATCCGACACGCTGATCAGGCACCCTAGTATCTGCATCTAGAGTTTATTTTCAGGGTCCGGGGTTGTTTAGGTCATCCGACACGCTGATCAGGCACCCGAGTATCTCCCTCCATTAATAGGATCCCAGTTGTCAAGCACGCGTTGCCTTGACAGGAACACTCGTGCGCTCGGATGTAGCTTTGACGTCCTGAGCCCAGCAGGTTATGCGCTTGATTACCTTTGCACGACGGGCGCCACTCCATCTGCGCGACGTTTAACCAGCCCCGTCTGCCCAGGAGTCCCTCAACTAACCCTTGCCGTCAGTGACTGTTAAGCCTGGTGGAGGTCCCCATCAAGGTTCGTCTATCCAGAGAAAGTCCGTCGTAGATCCAAAGTAAAGCCAGGTCGTCACCTTAAGAGCAGTTTACCAAGAGGATGGTCATTACTGGCCATTTGAGAGCCAGGCCGTCGTTACCTCAAGAGCAGTTTACCAAGAGGATGGTTATTACTGGCCATATTTGAGCCGGGCCGTTACCAGAAGAGCAGTTTGCCATCTCTGTTAGTCTGGAATCTCCACCCGAGCCACTCGGCCATGACTGGCTCGGTTCACTCGACCTTGAGTTGCTCGGTCCACTCGACCATGAGTGGCTCGGTCCACTCGACCTTGAGTGGCTCGGTCCACTCGACCTTGAGTGGCTCCGTCCACTCGACCATGAGTGGCTCCATCCACTCGATGAGTGGCTCGGTCCACTCGACCATCTGAGACCGCACATCCTCAGGTCTCATCAAGACGCAAGGCACGACAAGGGCGAGATGGCATGGGAGGTAATATAAATAAAACTTTTATATTCAAATTGTAATGAGCAATACGTGGATGTACCTGGCCGGGAAGCAGTAGATGAGATGCCATACGAAGCATGTGAGCACCACGAAGAGCGTGTGCAGCGTCAGCCACCCAGCGTCGTAGTGAAGGGTGTTCTGGGGGAGGAGAGGTGCGTTAGTAATGGGGGAGGAGGGAGCATCAGTTTTAGGGGAGGAGGGGGGCGTCAGTAGTGGGGGAGGAGGGGAGCGTCAGTACTGGGGGAGGAGGGGAGCGTCAGTACTGCTGATTGGGGTGTATGGGTCGTGAGAGGGGGGGAGGGTGATGAAAGGAGAGGGAGAGTGGTGAGGGAAAGGGAGGCTCTTTCATCAGGGTGGTGAAAGAGGTTCCTAATAAAGCTAGAAACGAGCTGTCACTTAAAACTAGTGTTCTCTAGCACACCACAAAACGAGTTATTAATAAGAAGAATAAATAGACAGTTCGGGACAGTGGTTTTGTGCAAAGCTTAGTAATAGTTTAGAAATATTAGCTTGGACGCACACTTAGAATAATTTAGTTAAGCATGGTATAGTACAACTCACAGGTACAAAGAAGCATGGTATAGTACAACTCACAGGGACTAAGAAGCATGGTATAAGCGTGGTACAGTACAACTCACAGGTACAAAGAAGCATGGTATAAGTGTGGTGTAGTAGACGGTGACGAGGGTCTGGTAGACGACCTGCGTGAGGCGCCTGTAGCAGTGCGACGACAGCAGCTCTGCCTCGTGGCGCGCGCCCTCGCTGCTGTTCAGGCACGAGTGCTGCACCAAGCGCCCGCCTCCTGCATCACACATGTCATCAATAAATATTCCTCTCATTATTATATATGTTACTATATAATATTGCAAATGTATTGCATTAATGAGGAAGACTCATTGCATTAATAAAGTAAATTCATTGCATTAACCGTAATAAGGAAAATTCATTACATTTAATAATTAATAAAGAAAGTTCATTGCATTATATAATATTGCAAATTTATTGCATTAATAAGGAAGACTCATTGCATTAATAAGGAAAATTCATTGCGTTAATAAGGCAGCAGGCTGCTGCCTCCTGCATCCAACACGTCATCAATAAATGTCCTGTCATTAGTATATATTAAACTAGATAATGCTCTCAATTGAACTCAATTGCATTATCATATTATAAATATTTATGTCATTATTATTTAAACGGTGACTGTATGCACAATATTTCAGCTATAAAAATTCATTGCAAAAAACCTGTAGGAGAGAACCAGTCTTTACTGGGCTGAAAACCAGTCGAACTGAAAGAAAAACCAGTCTTTACAGACACAGGTCTTACCACATTCCTGGTCTTTGGAGGGCTGCACCACGGGGATCAGCTCCAGAAATGAAGTCAGCTCTAAGTCAAATATGAAGAAATACAAGACGAACCTGTGGGGAGGGAGTGGTGGGAGTTATAGTACAAGAGCCTGTGTGGAGTGGAGGGAGTATACATGTATACCAGCCCGAAAATATATACCTATATATGTATGACGAGCAAGAAGTGATTTGTATGACGCGCCTGTGATCTGTGATTCTGATTCGTTGTCTATACACATATACGAGCCTGACTCACTGTGTATAGATTAACACAACAGATCTATACAAATGAATGGGAGTTCTATAGAGATGAACAGATCTATCCAAGTGAACATATCTATATAGAAGTGACTAATACAGTCTAAACACTCACGGGTATACAAGAGCCACAACTTTGATGTAGGTAAGAGCGTCCGTGATGGTAGAGAGGCAATACACCATCACCGTTGCCAGCACCATCACCACCACCGCTCTGCACATCACAAATATGTTAAACTTGACATCATTACAAAATATTAAATCATCTTTGTCTGACGTATATATTCCAGTTACATATCATTGCCTTAGTTGCTGCTATCATAGGTATATAATCATTAAAATATATTAGCAGTGCATCATCCATGCACCACAGCAGTGGTACATCATCCATGCCCCACAGCAGTGGTACATCATCCATGCACCACATCAGTGGTACATCATCCATGCACCACAGCAGTGGTACATCATCCATGCCCCACAGCAGTGGTTTATCATCACCATCATCACCATCTCACCTCGCTATAGGCACAGCAGTTCTCCAGAGGGTGTGGTGCAGGCAGGAAGTGATGAGACTCTTCACCAAACACCACACCAGACGTCTGCTCACGCTCAAGTGGTACATCATCACTATCATCCTCATCTCACCTCGCTATAGGCACAGCAGTTCTCCAGAGGGTGTGGTGCAGGCAGGAAGTGATGAGACTCTTCACCAAACACCACACCAGACGTCTGCTCACGCTCAAGTGGTACATCATCACTATCATCCTCATCTCACCTGGCTATAGGCACAGCAGTTCTCCAGAGGGTGTGGTGCAGGCATGACGTGATGAGGCTCTTCACCACACACCACACCAGACGTCTGCTCACGCTCACCACTATGAAGATCACCACTCGGGGCTCTATCAGGTACAGGTTCTGCACGCATCATATCTTTCTTTCACTTACAACAATCAATAAATAATTATAATAATAATATTTATATTCATGAAAAAATAGGTTTAATTGAAGAGAAATACATATATACTACATGTTCCAGCCTTTCTTATGAGGCACCTCAACGAAAACACTTTAAATAATATTTCTTAAATCACTTTTATTTCAAGGAAATTTTGCAGGTTTTGCAGTTTACAACAGACAAAAGTTTATACAAATCGCGAGTAAATGAAATAAATAAATGCAATGAATTTGAGGTCAAAAGTCTACTAAAGGATTGAGAAGGGCAAGATTCATCATACATTTTTTTTTTGTATAACATATTGCAATGTACAATTTTATATTATATTGTAATCTATAATTGTACATTATATCGTAATGTCTAATTGTATATTATACTGTAACGCATTATAATACGTTATACTGTAATGTATTATTGTATTTGTACTGACCACGACATATCGTGTGTGTGAGTGCGGGAGCCAGAAGACCGTGCGGTAGATGTTGAGGTAGTGGCCCCCCAGCACCAGAAGACTCAGCAGGCACATGAGGCTCTCGAAGGCGAACACTGACAGCCGCGGGATGTCGGGTAGCGGCGGGTGGCGGATGGCGGCCGCCGCCGAGCAACCATCGTCGTAGGTCCTGTGATATGGCGGGGCTTTAATAGGCAGGGTGACGTGTGATAATCTAACAGAGATATAGACTTCAACAACATACTATTTTATAGGCTAAACGTTTAGTTTGAGGGCATTAGAAGAGTGTAGACTTATCAAGAAAATGAGTTCTAGTAATATGTATTGTTGAATAGATAAAGACTCACTAATGAGTCTTAAAGCTAGGCAAACATTTTGCTATGACACCATTCCTTGCATAACAATTAGCTTCAAAGTTGCTGAAAAAATAATAATTAGCCTTAAATATTTTCAAATAAGATTAATTCAAGGGAAATACATATATATAAGAGTAGATAAATTGACAGTAACTTCTCAGCAAGATTGTTTAGATGAAAAAGAATAATTTTAAGATGCCTTGCCTTCATTAAACTTTGTACAAAGTGGCTGTAATACATACTTTTTACACTCAGCATCAGTAGCCTGTCGAGTGGCTGCCGACCGCAAGTAAGCGCTGCGCCGACCACCAGGCATCGTCCTGACGTGTCAAGCTGCAGGAGCTCTGGGCTGTATGCTGTAACACCTGCAACACTTCAATCTATTAGTACCAAAATGGGTTTTATAATATTATATAAAATTTATTTATGTCTGATAGTGACTGAAATCGCAATAAATCTAATATTGTTTTGGGGTATTGTTAGAAAATTTGTTAAAAATAATGTATATGGGAGCAAAGCAGGCAATGGATAATTCAAAACAAGCTTCAGGTGTTGTTTGGCACCACATCAAGATGGGATATAATTTCAAATATCAGCTGTATCATAATTATTTCAGAAATTCACGATTGCTAACATTTTCACTTTTATAATTAGCAGTAACAAAACTATCACTGTCATATTGTGGCAGCATTGCAATATTATGAAGAATTTTGCAAACAATATTCTAATCTAGTGTACTATGTCAAAAAGTTCAATGGACTTAGAATATTTGTTGTACTGGTATCTGAGAGGTATTTTTGTATAAAGAATGCTACAATGTAGAGAGCAAATAGGCAGTAAATTATTGGTAGACAAACTGCACTTACCAACAACCAGCAGCAGTTTAACTTATGAAGAACTTATACATATACTTTATTAGTTCATATTTATATTGAATTTAATTTCATAACTATGATCATCACCAGAAATGACTCGAATACCTACATAATCAATTTCAAAGCTGGAAAGACAAAAGTAGGAATAAATTTAAAGATTTTGGAAAGTTTGGAATTTCTTTCTGGATATTCTTTTGGAAATTTGCTATCCAATTATGTTTTTTCTAAGTGGGCTGCTGCCAAATGAATTCCCTTCACATAATTTCCCAAACAAATAATTCCTATAATTGATGCTAACTTGCAAAGCAAAACCACCAGCATAATTCGAACTTTATTGTCAAACTTTCAAACGTCAACCAGGATTATTGCAGTGATAAAGTGTGTACAGTACCTATATAATAAAATAAGTAAGAAAATTTTTCGATTGAAATAGAAGATTGTAGCTCAGATTTGTTTACAAAAAGATCATTTCTCTTGATGTGTTACTGACACAAGTGCTCTAGCAGTATGCCATTTGGTAAGTTTAATGGCGTTGATGGTGTCAGTGTGGCATGGATGTTGTCAGTGAGAGTAACTACTGTCAATGCCAAATGCCAATCACCTTGCCAGCAACACTAAAGTTGCCAGCATTCAATACCGTAAAATGGGGTAACTTAGACCCGCGGGGTAACTTAGACCACTTTTAGTTTTTTTAACAAAAACCCCCACAACTCAAAAACTATTTGACATAGAAAAATTTTGTCAATGGGCATCAAAGGCCTAATACTGAGGCTACATAACACAATAGAAAGATTTAAAAAATTTGCATATCTAATAGGTTAAAAAATTAAAAATGTGACCCACAAAAAAAACTATTATTTGAAGCCTGTCAGAGTACCCCCTCCAATTTTTTTATTTTTTGGTTAAATAACTCCAGGTTTTGATGCATTGTAGTAGAACTCTTCTAGTTACATATGCAAATGACAAATTTTAGGAAAGTGTCATAGTTTGCAAATGGGGGGCGCCGCCCCAAATGGGGTAACTTAGACCACCTAATGTAAGCCCTGACGGGGTAACATAGACCGGCTTGGAAGTTAATATAAAATTACCATATATAACATATTTTATGTTTGACAGCCTATTTATGTTTTTTCTTTATGTTTCAGACTGTACAGAGTCTTATATATGGTAATTTTAACTTAATATCCAAGCCAGTCAATATTACCCCATCAGGGCTGCCATTAGGTAGTCACATTTCCCTCATTATGGGGTGGCGCCCCCCATTTGCAAACTATGACACTTTCCTCAAGTTTGTCATTTGCATATGCAACTAGAAGAGTTCTACTACAATGCACCAAAACCTGGAGTTATTTGGAGTTATTTTACAAAAAAAAAATAATTGATTTTACCACCCGGTCTAAGTTACCCCAAGAGCTGGGGTAACAAAGACCATCACTTTTTTTGAAATTACATAAAGACTATGAGAGGCAGGAGCCAGCAATTTATGGTGAGTGAAGCCAGAGTATAGACCTGTATTTTGCATGTTTCAATTCAAGTTTAATTTAGCTAGTAAAAAAAGGGGCATCATTTATAAAAAAAAGTGGTCTAAGTTACCCCATTTTATGGTAGTCTAATAGAAACTATTATCTATCTTTCCTAACAGCTGCGTAGTCCCATGTAAGTCATGTTCATGCAGCAAGCAACCAAGTATGTCACCATATGTGCAATTTCTGCTGAGCCGCAGCTTATATGGCCTGAATGGAAAAAATGCAAAAAATGGATTTGTATGCCTGGTAATACATTCTTCAATTGGGTTAGGCTGCAAAAAATTGCCTCTAATTCTGCAAGATGCACAAATTAGTGAATAAATTAAAATTAGACTCCACAAACAAATTCCGGGAATTAAATATGTGTGAAATTCAGGGCAAAGAAGTTATATCAGCCAAATACCAGATGCATGAAATATCCATAGCTACTGTACCAGGGTCCAGGAACAATCCTAAAAGGTTCATGCAGTGCACATTGTATTATTACAGGGGTCAGGGTGAACATGATTAGTTGGAATTTGGAAGTAATGGAGCATTAGTTCAATTTCCAATTGACTTCACTTCCTTTCAATCAATTGTTCATAATTTAATTTTTATTAGCAAGAAGCAACAGCTAATATGTAACAAATCAACAATCAACTGAATCTTTGTTCTTGCAGCTGAAAAAAAACATAGCCACATCTCCATAATTTCATAGAACAAGAAAATGTCAATTGTCAATCAAATGTCAGTATTGTCAGCCACATTGACCCAGAAACAGCCAGGTATTGTAACAAAGTAAGGGCAGCCAGCAGTATTACTAGTACTAAATATACCATACCCGTACCAGAATACCGGTATACCAAAACATACTAAATGTACAAAAATCAGCTAAGTATACAAAAAATTTTAAATTGGAAGAAATAAAGTGAATTTTAGGAGAATAACTAAATCTATTCCGTGTTATGGTGGTATGATATAAAACAGATAGTCCAGAGATTTTTTTCGTCGGTTCACTTTTAATTACTTCATCTACTCAATATTTTAATTAATCAATATCTAGGTACTCAATATTTTATCTAAGGCCCTCAACCCATCACCGGGGCCGCGGGGCGGGCCATCAGTTGTATTCCTTCATGGCGTAACCCTCATTCTCGGCCTCAGTAATCACTACTAGTCAGTATCCATTACCCAGCTGGGCTGGGGCCTGGGCCAGCTAGCCTACCCGCGGCCGCGTAGGCCTAACCCGCCCAGTGAGTACTGAGTAGTGACTAGTGAGCCACAGAGCCTATCACTAAAGTTAAACTATCCCAGTCCCTTTACTCCCTTAGTGGCTTAGTACGTACTTAGAATATTTTAGATATTCATAATATTATTTGTAATATATTAGTTTTCATGGTTCTGAGTTCTCTGTAGCTTATGTTTATCCGTAGCTCAATTATTTAACACGTTAACCGCCACATGTACCACCGGTGGCACAAAACAAGCTGTCAATGAACGCCATATGTACCACCGGTGGATCATTTACAAATTTAATTTCAAATTTCTTTTTCACTCGTTTTTCATGGACAGAAGAATGAATTATCAAAACAAGTGTTGTAATTTATTTATTTATTAGCATAACTATTCAAAAAAATAGTTTCATACAAATTTCAAACGAAATATAACTGAAGTTTTGTTCCATAAATCAGACTCTTTCTCAAACCTAAAATTCAATGGTAAAAAAGAAAATTCTTCAAATAAAAGAAATAATCCGCATAAATTGGTGATCATAATTAGTTAGATTGCATTTTGGAAAATTATCCATGAACCAATAATAGCATTAGACATCAGAAATTACCTATGAGAATGGGTTCATTCAAAACAACCAGGGCATAAGTGTGGCTTATTTTCACTTTGAAGGCAGACTGTTTTCAATCTTCTTGCTTATGCAGCTGCAACTGAGCAGCCTTCAATTTTCAACAGCACCTTGTAACACCCTCTACATCTTTTTCTTACATTCCAACATTGACCCTCCAACTCAAAAAGGTAATGAAAGTTTCTCATCCCACCTATAACAGTTGGTTCTCGTCCTGCATTCCTTTTTTTCGAGTTTCCTGTTATGAGTGAGTGAGCAATAGATTCTTGGAATTCTTTTATCAACAAGGGTTGCTTGATATGAAATTTGTTATCGTAATGCAAAGCAATTATGAGTAGAGAGTGAAATAATGAAATAAACGTATGTAATAAGTCTTGGTATCATTATAAATAAAAAACTAACAAATGAAAATCATAACTACTAACTACAATATAATAAATATTTTTTGAGAGCTCCAAACTATAACCACCGGTGGCCAAATAATTATGATCCAATGTGTACCGTTTCTATTGTTGCAATAAAAGCCACCAGTGTACCATAATCTCTTGTACCACCGGTGGCGCATATGGCGCTGGAGAAAAATGAAGATTTAGTGAACATCCTTATGTACCACATGTGTCTCATGGTTTACTCTGTTCTAGAAGAAACTAGACAGAGAGTATAACACATACACACCTTCCCTTGCAGCTGTTCCTGACCTACTGAGATATTTTGGCGCCTAGAAGTCTTGGCGCTAGGGGTAAATTCCAATATTGCATGCTGGCGGTTAACGTGTTAAAGAGCGAAATGCAAAGTAGGCCTAGGTACAGACACTTAGGTACTCAAGGTACCTAGTACTCGTTACTTCTCACCTCTCCCCCGTTCCGTTCCGAGCGCAGAATGCGTATGCGAGTGCCATCGGATTTCGGAAATCGGAATCGGATCAAGAGAGTAAACATTAAGGGAACTGTAGCTTTCCGTTTCACTGTAAACCTGTCGAAAGTGTGTCAAAAATAGACTTACCTTGATCGGTCGCACAATAGGTTTATAAGCTTATCGAAAATTGGATTACATTTATGTTTATTCATTATTGTCATTCTGCTAAAGTACTTAATTTACGTTCATCAAATGGCTCAATTCATTGACCTATGCATTTGTGAATATGGGGAGAAGCGTCTTATACGGTCTGTACCTTGGCTGTAACCTTGTAAGAATATAGCTCCTCAATGTCCCCAACTCATCCACGCTTTGTTGTTGCGGTGCCACTAGGAAAGAGTGGAAGAGAACAAGAGGTGGCGCAGAGTGGCCAGAAAGAGAAAGGAGAAGCGGAAAAGACAGTATGAGATGAAAAAGCGCATTGCGCATGATTTGGTTGCCAAAAGTTGATTGGTTTGTTTAAGGGTTGGAAACCCGTCGGGGCTTTGGATGGTTTAGGAAGGTGGGTGATGGGAGGGTGGTGGTTCTCTATTTACGTATATGCATGCGTTTCCGCTTTGTTTTAATTTTATTATTTTTTTTCTTGGTGGATATGATGAGAAAAATAAGGGAGGGTGATGATGTTAATGATGATTGATGATTACGAGGATGAAGGCGGTGGGTGAATCGCTCGAGACTCGAAGGATAGAGGGTTGATTGGTTCATTTCTTATTAGGTTTTCGGTCACGTCTTTACTGTACGTCACTCTCATATAATAGTAGCTGTTTCAGCGTTTAGTAGGCAGTAGGCCTGCCGCAAAATCTTAACATTGAAGAACATTTGCAACATTTTGCGGTCTCGAACTCTCAACACACTGCTACAATTCTGCTGTGCTTAACCGCCCGGCCTCCTTGCCGATTCTGACCAGAACCTGGCGCACAGAGCTAGGATCGAACCCGCACCTCTCTGCGCCAATCTTGGTACTCTGCACCCAAACGTGATTAGAACAATTCCGTACGGGTGCAGCATGGTCCGCTGTGTATTTATTTGCACATGGGTAGAGGTGGGGGGCCTAGCGCATGTAATTTGGAGCTTTTGAAAAGCCGATGCGTCCTCGCGATGGCGTCTGGAGGGAATGTGAGTTGGTTGAAGAGTTTGGGATCATATGTATTTATGGTGGACAACGTTTTGCGTGCTTCTTGGTGGAGGACTGTGATTATTGTGAGAATTTTGCATTGTTCGTGTAGTGTTTGGGAGGATATGAAGTCAGACCAGTGTATATTTGTAATAAATCGGAGGGATTTGTTTTGTACTCCTCCACGCGACAACATTTCTTCTCGCTTCGAGTCCCCAACATGTTGAACATCCTCCCCGATGGCATCGTTGACGCTCCGAGTATTGACGCGTTCAAGAACAGACTAAACAAAGCTATGGAGTAATATATGTTCCGACTTGAAATGCCTAGTACCATAGCAAACCCGGTTGAAGTCTAGTAGCTATTTCAAATCATTGTCAGTTTGGAAAAGATCCGGTCGAAGGACCTGTTTTTAGATCTCCTGTAGACAAGTCACGAAAATTACTTTAATAGGCGACAGGCCACATCTGGCCTATTCTTCAGCGCCGACATCACTATGTTATGCTATGCTTTGTCTTCAATAGTAAACCTTCGTTGAGCTTTTCCCCATGTGTGTTATTGTTAGATCACCTATAAATTTACATGCTTTCCCTCTCCTGTGCAACACATACTATTATTCAATGAGGTTTGAAAAAATCTCGAAAAAGTCGCTCATGCACTCACGTTGAATTTCAATATTATTTTGAATTTTTTATTAATTTTTACTGTTACGATGCAGACATCTCAGGCATGACGCGTGGTTCAGGCGCAGAAATGAATTTTAGATCAAAAATAATTCCGTTTCCCCAAGACGAACAATTACCCTAGCATTTCATATGAAAGCCAATGGTAAATAGTCAAATAATTATCACGATTTGAAAAGAAATAATGAAAAAATAACAGAAAATTCTGTTTAAACGGCCCAATTTTGCCTTAAGCCTAGACTTATACATGTCGAATAAAATTTAAATCGTTTTTGTTAAGCCATACAGGCAGCAGCGCGGATGCTGAAATAATGGCCCTAGTACCCAGTTAAATTTCGGAGACGCATTCTGCGCCGTTATAATCACCGGACCCTTGACTACATAAGCTGAGAGCGTGACGCCGTTTGTGGCTTCCTTGCCTGTATATTTTCCGGCTGGGACGTAGCTTTTCGGGAATCTTCCTTGTTCTCAAAATAAACCTTTTTATTATTTGGTAGAAATCGTGACCGAGATCCGAAATGTAATCTCATTCATTGGTTAAAAATCACTAGAAATTTTCACTCGAATTATTTATTCAATCGTCTACAATGGAATGATAATTTTAAAAACATTTTCTCAACATTTTCTAATTTAGTTAGCGACACGGAAAATTTTAATTTTAAACGAATTCTAATCATCATCTACATCAGGTTTTAATTTATTTATCGAGTTGAATATTTGTTTTCAAATTTTAAATGGGCGAATAGGCTTTCTAGAAAATCCCACAGTTAACTGTATCCTCTTTATTTTCCGGAGAAGTCACATGCAAAATATCTGTTCAGTCAATTTGAGCAATATAGTAATAGTAATAACATAACATAGTGATGTCGGCGCTAAAGAGTAGGCCTGATGTGGCCTGTTGCCGATTCTTAAACTTTTCGTGCCTTTTCACAGAAGATCTAATATCGCTTCATTTGACCGGACCTTTTCATGACTGACGATAGTTTGAAATAGCTACTAGACTTCCACCGGGTTCGATATGGTGCTAGACATTTCAAGTCTGAACATATATTTTTCCATAGCTTTATCTAGTCTGTTCATGAACGCGTTCATACTCGGAGCGCCAACGAATAATGATAATTAAAATAATGCTAATTATTAATTTAGCAATGTAACCCAAGTGGGAGGACGTGACTGAGTTGTCTAAAAGAATAAGCCGGCTTTGTGGCATGGGTTAAATGCTACAGACACGCAATGACACAAAGTGCGTATCGATGATGCGAAGTGTGCAATGAACGTAGCAGACCAGGGCCTATACTTTCAAAAAAGTAATGTGATCGTAAGTTCATCTGCCATTCATTGACGGCCTTTCAAGCAAAATCCATTAATCACAGACAAGAAAATAGAGCGTAAGTACTTACGTTCACTTAGCGAGTTTGAGACTGTAAGAAAAGTAAAGAAATGAGGGAAGTGAAGAAGTGAGAAAAGTGAAGAAGTGAGGGAAGTGAGGGCGGAGTTCACTAAGTTGGCAATGCAGGTGGCTGTCGGTAGCCACCTGCCATGCCTCGACTGCAGTTGGTTCTTAGCCTGTGACTTGCGACATCGTAAGGCTTACGACGTCCTCTCAATAAGCCATCCGTGCGTCAACTTGAGACGTCGTATGGCTTACGACGTCCTCTCAATAAGCCATCCGTGCGTCAACTTGCGACATCGTAAGGCTTACGACGTCCTCTCAATAAGCCATCCGTGCGTCAACTTGAGACATCGTAAGGCTTACGACGTCCTCTCAATAAGCCATCCGCTGTCTCTTATACACATCTAGATGTGTATAAGAGACAGCTGCTACACTTACGACCTCTGCTACACTTACGACCTCTGCTACACTACCACAACCAGACAATTACCGAATATTTTAAAGAAAATTTTGGGGGAAATTGACTAAATTCAAAATTTTACGCGACTTGAAAATGTTTCATGTTTCATGCAGTTAATGACCTTCAAAGAAGAAGTACACTACAGAAGAAGTACACGATACAGTTTAAGAAGTTAAATCTTACTGCACTCCCATAGACTGTTCCTGATAAATTGCGTATTAATATTTATCATTTCCTGAAAAATTATTCAATAACCGATCATTTATACTATGATTTATACGAATAAAAATGCAGCTGTCATAAAGAATTGATGTCACTTGTTTAATTAAATCGCAACGTGGTAAAGGGAACGTGATAAACGTGGTAAAACGGATTAAAGGGAACAGTGAAAATTCACTGTTCCTTTACCACGTTTTACTGATACTACGAACTGACAATGGAGCTGGTCTCCTAAACGTTTTCCATAAAGATATGAATTTTGTGGACTACTCTTTGCTTTTAAATTGTTAGTTAATTTACAACTGTCTTCCAACGCGCGCATTACCACAATAGAAAAAATTATAAAAAAATACAACTCCGGAGATTGCCAGATAATAATCTTGCCTAACAAGAGCTGAAGAAATGCGAAGCATTGGCAAATTATTGTCTGTTGATTAAAAACAATAACTTTGGAGAGATACATTGAGGTTGCCAACATACCCACCATTATCGCTCAGAGATTCCTGAGCAGCAACGAAACGTCAAACCCTCATTGCCATCCTGATTTGTTGTTTTAACATCAAGTGTTCACTTAAAGTGAAATGCACACTCTTAATTATAAATCATTTCTATCATTATTTTAGTCACCATCTCATTCGAAAAGTTTGTTATATTTTTACTGCCTTATTTTACTATCACTATCCGTAAGATAAAAAATTCGCAATGTAACATGAAAAAAATCACAACGCAAAATGGAAAAAAATCTTTGTTTTGAAAATTGACAAACCACATTAAATTACACAAAATCTTCTCAAATTGCAGTTGGAAAAAACGAATTTTTGAAAAATTTCAGTTTATTAATTAACCAGGAAGTTCACATTAATTTGCACTGCATGTGCCGTTTTTGTTACCCTGACATCTGTCTCGCAAGAAACCAGCACATTTTTATTCAGAGTTGCGCTAAAACAGCAATTTTTGTTCTGGTAAAATTTAATGCGGTTATAGTCTTATTGATAAATTTCTGATCAATAAAACTATTTAAATTTGTTGGCGTTGAAGTGGCACGCTGTGAGCATGTCGCCCCTGCATGACGATGTCAGTAGAGTATAGATGCTCTACTGTCACGGGTCTACTGTCTACTGTCACGGGTAGAATAGATGTCTACGGTTTGGTAGTGTTATACAATTAACTTTATCCATACAGTAGTGCTATTGTGTACTTTCGTACATTTATATTAGTAACGAATACATCTGTACTTCCTGACATCTATTTTTTATTTAGATGAAGGTCTCCTGATAGACGCTCCGTTGCCGCGATTTCTTTCAAATCCATTTTGATGGTTGTGAACTAAAATGGACTGAGATGAAAAATAATAGCTGTGACCAAACAAAACTGACGAGTTTTTCGACTCATGTAATGTTATTTCGAATGGTTTAATCATTGCATCCAGACACACTGCTGTCTAAATGACATCTTAACCACCGAAAGCTCATCGGTGGGTAAAGCTAACCACTCCAGGTCCCAAAGCCGGGTCTCTATTATAGAGGGCAAGTCTAAGTTTGCAATTCATCATCATATACATCAGGGCATTCCATATGCAATTCATGCATACGGCAGGCTCTGAGAACCAACTCACCGAGCTGTTCATCTCTGAAATATATTTGTATAGGGAGAACTTTTTGCTACACTCGCTCCAGGTGATCACTTTTCTTGAAGGGACTCCCTCGTCCCAATAGTTTTGACAGAGTCACTTATTGACGTTAACTTCGCTCTTACCTTTTGCCGCAGTTGCTCCCACTAAAAGCTGTGTGTCATTGAGCATCACGCATCCTTGATAGTATGAATTATGCCGACAATTTTCCAGCTATTTGGAATGGTGTAATAGTTCACCGATCCAAGAACTCTTGTTGTGTCAAATATTTTCAGTCTGGCATGAGATTGTGTCGAATTTCTGGAACGTATTGCCTTCCGTCTAGTGACCTCTTGAAAATCTGATTCCAACGACTGAAATTGTATTTTTCTGAGTTCAACGACGAATACCACTCATGTAGAAAACTGATGAGAATTTTGAGTATGAGATTCCCTTCCATATAACGCAAGGGAATTTACGTGTAAAGCCAGACCAAAGCATGACTCTTTAGCCCTTGTGTTGAACTCGCAGCGAAAATCTTGTGTGAAGTCGATACGCTACTCATACATATTTCAACTTCGTGGCAGTGTTTCCAATTACACAAAATATTTTATTCTGCGGACCCAGTAGCAAAGAAATTATCTATAACCTCAGCCTCCTCCCGATCTTTAAGCTTTGTTTTCAAAGCCTTCTATCCAACAAGCAGTTTTAGCTTTCAATTGGCATACTATTAGTTGGTTATCACACACAGAAAATACACATACACATATAAAATTTTCTACAGGCACAATATTTATTTGCATTTAGATTATCTGGCTCACGTTTCTTTGAGTTCTTTTTACCTTGCCTACTCCAAATGTGGCCTACTGTCTATCAAGTCACGAAAAGTATAAGAATCGGCAACAGGCCATGGGCCTTTTTCTTCAGCGCTGAAACTTCTATTCTATTCTATTATATTCTTGTGTCTAATTTTGTCTTACCTTTGTTTGATCTTTGCCTCCTGACCTGCCGCGTGTATTTTTCTTGAAGGAAAGGCATTTAGTCTTCACGATTGTCATGGACTTGACATTCGTCACATAAGGTTCGAAGTGAAAAATCGTTCTCTCATTGTACCCATTTGAGAAGGGAATCGTTGACGCACTCTTAATCTTATTTTTCTTAAGTGGCCATTTTCCTCTCCTACATTCGCTGAGAATCCATGTCCCACACTGAACGCTGCTCTCGTTGAGTACCTCTCGTTGAGCACCTCTCGATGAGTACCTCTCGTTGAGTGCCTCTCTTTGAGTACCTCTCGTTGAGTACCTCTCTTTGAGTACCTCTCGCTTAGTACGTCTCACTGAGTACCTCTCGTTGAAAACGACTATTAAGAGATGCCAGGGCAGCGCACGTCAGTGGACTTCGTGAACCAATTTACTAGCTTTGGACCTGATTTTAATCTGTTCAATTCCCTATAAATGTCTTCTTCTTTGGTTAAGTCCTGGTACAAGATGTTTTAATCAGGACTATCTAAGATGGTTTGGTGGTCCAAGATCGTTTTTTAACCATAAAATGAAGGTTCTAAAAGGGTTTAGCTGTTCAAGATCCTTTTTTAACAATAAAATGAAGGTGATTTTTGAAGTCCCATTTAACATTGAGACGCATGAAATTCATGCGATAAATACATGGCTGAATGCTTGACCACAGTAAGACCTCAACTTCACATTTTTGCCTCAATGACGACCACATTGTTTACCTGCTTGCTGTCCTGCGACTAAAACACTGGCTCTTATAAACAACAGTCACGTCTCTTCCCAACAGTCAAATACGGAACGAAAATAACGCTGTATTACACTATTAACGCTGTTTACACTATTAACGCTGTTTACACTATTAACGCTGTTTACACTATTTCGACCCTTAGATACAGGAACGAATAATTCGAATAATTTTGTTCCAATGTCGCTGCGACATCAGAGATACACTGTTAGAAAAATTACCGTTAACGGTATTCCGGCGTTTCAGTGGCACGTCGGCACGTGAAAAGAAACACCGAGTCGCAGTTTTTATTCTAATTTAACAGTAAAAATCCTTAAAACATCTAATAAAAACGGCAAAACAGTTTATTTTCACGGGGCGACCGGCCACTAGAACGCCAGTGGGACCGTTTTTTCACCGTTTTTTTCTAACAGTGTACCTAAATCTTTGAACGATACTAGTCTAAAGTTTGAATTAGCAGAAATTTAGTAGAAATTAATTAGAGCATGATTATTTAAGCGTATATGATTGAACGCTCTATTACATTCAATAATTATTTATTATCAGTTTATTTGTGCGTGCAGCTTGCGATACCGGACAAGCATTTCGACAAATGAGCCAAATTTCTAGGGCATAATTACATACTTATAGTAATACTAAAATGTTACTATAATAATATATGCTATACTAATATAAAATAATAATATAATAATACCATAATATACTTATAATATTATAATATAATGGTGACGCAACAAGGACGCAGTGATGGCAACAAGGACGTAGTGACGGCAACAAGGGCACCTATTATACCCAAACAAAGTTAATGTCTATTATCACTGTTGAATTTACCACTAAACTGGATGCTGTATTAAATTCTGTTACCTACTGTAAGGTGTTCATTACTCCAGTGTATAATGTACTTCATGTAGTGACGTATCATTGCTCCAGTATATACTGTACTTCGTGTATTGACTTATACTGTATTCATTAATCCGGTATATACTGTACTCCATGTCGTGAATTAAACAGTATTCATTACTCCAGTGTATATTGTACTTCATGTAGTGATGAATTTATATCCCTTGTTTGCTTTAATCGCAAATTAACTAAGAATTTAAAAGCAAAGAAAAGTCCACAAAAATTCATATCTTTATAGAAAATGTTTCGGACTTCTAATTTGTGACTTCTGATTTGTGATTCTAGATTCTACGAACTGACGATGGAGCTGGTCTCCGAAACGTTTTCTATAAAGATATGAATTTTTGTGGACTTTTCTTTGCTTTTAAATTCTTAGTTCATGTAGTGACTTATACTGTATTCTGGTATTCATCAATACAGTATATACTGTACTAATCACATAGTATTATACTGTATTGACTCGTCTAGCTCACAAGCATCATTGTAATGTATTGCAGTGGTCACTACAGTATTTCAGCGTCTAATTGGCCCCGCTCTAATAATCCTTGCAATTATACCGTATTGGCGCGTGTAAAATTAACAAACAAACATTGGCTATAAGCCAATCACTCCTGCCAGCTGGCACTGCTGCTCACCTCCAGCTGCTCTGTAGTTCCCAGGCACAGAATCCTTAAAATGAGAACTTGTTGAGAGGTTCTACAATCTCCGTTGGTTCTAGGATGATTGCAGCATCAACAATCTCCGTTGGTTCTAGGATGATTGCAGCATAAACAATCTCCGTTGGTTCTAGGATGATTGCTGTATCAACGATCTCCTTTGGTTTTACTACATTGTTCACAGCTAATGTTCCACCAATGTTTTAGCTGGAAAAAGTCTGCATATTTTTGCCTAGCGCTCGTCGAGAACGCGCTTGACGCTCGTCGAGAACGCGCTTCACGCTCGTCGAGAACGCGCTTGACGCTCGTCTAGAACGCGCTTGACGCTCGTCGAGAACGCGCTTGACGCACGTTCGTTTATTTACATCTCACGTCTAAGCGGCATCTGCTGAGAGACGCTTTCGTCTCATTTCTTCAGTTCTGGCACTAACGTCACATGAAAGCTTTGTGATGGTTAGGAGCATCAATCAACTAACATAATACGGATTCTTATAATTTCTTTCAAAGTTATATAAGATTTAAAGACATTTCACAAACTCTCTTGGTAACATTAATATTGAAGTTCGGCAATATAACTACTGGTCAAAGTTTCTTTAGAATAATGCATGCATAAATATGTGTTTGTTTCTTCTGTTTAAATCAAATTATTAATTTCTAAGCCTGTATGAATCTCTAATGGCAATAAATATATATTTTTGTGGTTAAATGAATCTTTCCCGAATTCGCCTTATTGGCTTTTTGGTGGCTCGGAGAGCATTTCTGCCACTCAGACTTTTCCGTGTTCATTATCAACAGGAAAAAACGCTTAAATATCATCTTTAAGATTGAATGGAGTAAACTTACATATTTATCAGATTAGATATAGTGAATTCTGAACATATTCGTCTAATTAAACGCTCCTATCACTCATGCGAAGAGAAATATAGAATCTTAGAGTTTATTTAAGTCACCGCAAAACAATCCGTTTTCTCCACTAGAAATGTGTAGCAAAAGTCTACGGTAAATGAAAAGCTCATTTAAGATGATTTTTTTGACGACATGAAAAAACTAACTTACTATTCCTTTAGCCAACGCTCGAAAACATTAAAATAAGTTTGTGTCCTGTGTCTTTATGCCTATAATATTGGTACTATTGTTTCGCGACTAGAATGGTTGAACATATATTAGGCATGAAGCTATTTAATGTCTTCATTATCAATGGTGTCGGATGACTTGTAATATTTTAGAATATTTCGTCGGCTTTTACATGTGCATGCACTGAACATTCATGCAATGTATGTTCCACTGAATATTAGTAATTAGTATAAACATTTTCAATGTTGTTAATATTCAATGTTGATTAGCACCATTTGTATATAGAGCTCCGTCGCTAATTGTTTGGACGAGAACAGACATTAGGATGTGAATGTATGTTCAATTTTAATAATATTCAATGGTTATAACACCATTTGTATTTAGAGCTCCATCAGATGAGAACAGACATAGAGAACAGACGTCGGACGAGAACAGACAAAGAGAACAGACGTAGGACGAGAACAGACATATAGAGAACAGACGTTGGTCGAGAACAGACATAGAGAACAGACGTCGGACGAGAACAGTCATATAGAACAGACGTCGGACGAGAACAGACATAGAGAACAGACGTTGGACGAGAACAGACATAGAGAACAGACGTCAGACGAGAACAGACATAGAGAACAGACGTCGGACGAGAACAGACATGGAGAAAAGACTTCGGACGAGAACAGACATAGAGAACAGTTGTCGGACGAGAACAGAACAAACAATAAGAAATAAATGTACGTTGGTGTCCCGCAGTTGTTTGTGTCCCGTTTGTGAAGTGTCCCGTAGTGTCCCGTTTGTGAAGTGTCCCGTTGGTGTCCCGCAGTTGCTTGTGTCCCGTTTGTGAAGTGTCCCGTTGTGTCCCGTTTGTGAAGTGTCCCGTAGTGTCCCTTTTGTGAAGTGTCCCGTATGTGTCCCGTTTGTGAAGTGTCCCGTTTGTGTCCCGCAGGTGCTTGTAGGCACCCCCGCGGAGTCGGTGCTCAAGAAAGGTGACGTCATCACCAAGATTGGGGCGCGGGGCACCCACGGTCTGAGCCATCAGCAGGCCGTCGAGCTCTTCAACAGCGCCGGCAACCAGATCGAGGTGACCTTCAAGAGGTGGGTCACATGACACACTTAGTGTCGTTTAGTTACCTCCATGAATGGGTCACATGACACACTTAGTTACCTTTATGAAGTTGTTCACATGACACACTTAGTTACCTCTATGAAGTGGGTCACCTGACACACTTAGTGGCCAATGTTGTATTGGTGATTCGAGGGAAACTAACCCGGAGTACATTTAAAATTATAAAATGTGTAAAAAAATAATCTAGGCTACTATGAACAATTTCCTGAAATATTTTTAACCTAATTCTACAATTCACATCGAAATGTAAAACCTCGTAACAGCACAAAAAATATACTATAAACAAATAACCAAAAAGTCACAAGTGAATATCGATGTAAGCAAATAAGCTTTGCAAGCGACAACGGCTGCACATAATTACAACTTGAGTTTTTTAAGCAGAAAACGGAAATTTGCTAGAGCAAAACATTTCATTCACTATTGATAAAGCTGATTACAATATCGCAATAAAATAAACGAGCAGCAACGATGAAAGTATCAATAAAATAATTCATAACTGATACAACTGTAAACAAACACATCATTAGAAGAAAACTTGTTACATATTCCAGTGCGAATTAATATTGCGTAAAAATAAAATCACAGAATATTGCCTTCAAAAAAAAGTTGGGAGCTATCCCATGTTAAACCATATCAGTATTGTACACAATGACGGACTGTTGTAGGGGATTTTCCTCCCTACGCACGAGGATATTCCTCTTTCAGAAATAGCCTTCATTCACTAAAATTTAGGGAAAGGGAGTTGAAACAAATGAACATGAATCGCGGTAGTTTTAATCTAAATTAAACAGTTGTTGGTACAGCATTCGGAGTTAATGCAGATTCCGCTTCAGACGAGTAAATTTATTTTAAGAAAGCAGCGTTTACGAGCGAGGTCGACGCCAGAAGTTTACAAGGAAGTCATACTGTTCTAAATTGAAACTTGAATTACAATTAAGCTATGAATTTTCGGGCACTTTGTATTCCCAGTAATTTCAATATTAGTTCGAATTCAAGAGTGTAGCTCACCTTATTTAATTGAAAATAAGTGCACCACACTGGTGCTCTCAGACGATAATGGCAATACGTGTAAGATTAAAGGCAATTGAATAAATTTAGGTGCGGTAGCTCAAATTAAGTGTCACCATAGGTTTAAAGGGTAGATCACTTTAGCCACAGGCCACTTCACGTTCAATTGATGGGAACAAACGAAGTTCCAAATAAGATTTTGAGCAATTTTTGTAGGTTTTAAGTAATTCAAGTAATTTAAGTTGCAAAGTTCTACATTTAAAGTTTTACTACGCGATTGAACTAGCCGGCCAAAGCGTTCCGAAAGAAGTGAAAAAACGCATGCACCCCAAACTCAAAATTTAAACAAAGCAAAGGTTGTGCACAACAACTTAACACCTCTAAAATTAATTAGGAAACTATGGCGTAGAAACATTTATAAGATCTCGTTACGACCGCACGCTTTGAATTTAAGGTAAGCATTGTTTTTTAGTAGCTGCGACTCTGTCCTTTAATAGGCAGAACAAGATCTTGTTCTTCTACGCAACTGACTCAGTAATAAGGTTGAAAATTATTTCCAACACTGTGCCGCTTCCTTTGACTTCTAAATGAACCGGTATGTTGAAGCGTTCGTCCCTTGCATTGTGGGAATGCTGGGTAAAAACAATGGAAAATACCGATGTACGAATGCAATCATTGTAGGGAAAATCACTCTTCATGATCTTAAATCTGAAATTCATAGGGATCGTTCAGTAAAGACTCCTGGTCTCGGAATTGTTGCATTGAGAAGAATATCGGTACAACAATGCAATAATTGGCACAGAACAAAAGACGATACGATGGGAAATATCTCCCATAATGAAGTTACACTACGTGACAATAGATGTGTCCCGAATAAAATGGAACGTTACGAGACTGATATATATAAGTATGCGAGATATACGCGTGTGGGCTGAAAGTAATATTCAATTTAGACAAAAACGAATTCATTAAAGATAAAACAGTTTATCTCTATATTATTAATCCGCAATTAGGCAGATATGGCAATTAGCAGCCATTACAACTTGGCAGTTAATTTAGGGGCATAAAAGTTCTGAAAACTGTACACAATTTATTAACCAGTGAACTATAATTCTCCATGAACTTTAGTTATCTATATTTAAAATGTATTAAAACATCCTCTTGTTGGTCAAGTAACAGGCTACTTGCCGCCACCCGCTCTCAGATGCAGCCAGTTATATTAATGTATACATGGCCCGTATTATGGTATTAGGATCACTCTGTATTATGGTATATGGTATTAGGATCACTCTGTATTATGGTATATGGTATTAGGATCACTCTGTATTATGGTATATGGTATTAGAATCACTCTGTATTATGGTATTAGGATCACTCTGTATTATGGTATTAGAATCACTCTGTTTGGATCATATTGTAGCTTGCAACGCTCTGTCCTAATCACCTAAATTCACGTTCAGCTCCACTCGGAGCCACTTATTCCTAAATTAGAGGCGGTTAGTAGTTGTTGTTGTGGTTTCCCGGTCTCATTTTTACAAGAGACCTTTAGTTAGTAGTTGCCAGACAAAGTTGCCAGGTTAGTAGTTGCCAGACAAAGTTGCCAGGTTAGTAGTTGCCCGACAAAGTTGCCAGGTTAGTAGTTGCCCGACAAAGTTGCCAGGTTAGTAGTTGCCCGACAAAGTTGCCAGGTTAGTAGTTGCCAGACAAAGTGGCTACCACAACCGGGACTTTGCGAGCATGTATTCTATGGCCTTACAAATTTCCTCTGATGCAAGAAGTAGACTTACACGATTTAATTTTACGTAGTGTAATATTTGAAATACTGATCACGTTGAAAATATGTAAATTCAAAAAATTTTATTGTTCCTAGATTATTCCGGAAAATCTCATTTCGGTATTTTCCCGGTTTGCATAAGAGAGAGTTGAAATTTTCTCGATTTTTATCTCTATTAGGAAGAAGCTTCTCGTGTCGCCTCGTCTCATATACAAAAGTCCTAAACGCAGGAGTGAATACGTGCACTTTTAGAATTTGCAAGTGGCTATTTAATTCTATATTTGGCGACACCGGACATTGTCTCCATCCTATTCCTCTGCCGCAACATTGACCGCAACGACTTACTTAGTTACAACGACCTGATTACTAATCTCCTTGAAAATTTTGAAAAGAACTAGGAATAAAAATCTAGTTAAAGTAAGTAATCTAGTTATGCTCATTGCGAAGCAAAAATAACAAACCTAAACCAAAGAAGACAAGAGCCCTTATGGAAAAATCTGTATTTACCACCTGCTAGGCATGTTGTTGACCGCAACGTTAGCTCCTGCGTCTCATTTCAAAATGCATCAAACCGTAAAATCCTGCCTGTCGTATTAATTTTAGCTAAATGGCTTACCTTAAATTATTGGTTGCCTCTTTTTAAATATTATACAATATTTTGAAATCAAAATTTTTAACCTTATATCACACTTGCTGGAATTCGCCCCATGACCGTTCCCTCTTGTTCCCCATAAGCAAGCGGCCGGCAAGCCCAGCCAACTATATGAAATATATTTATTTGGGAAATAATTCAGTGTACAAACGACTGTTATTTTTTTATTACATATTTTTGATTTGAAAATTTATTTGTATGTTTCTTACAAATTATGCAAATTATTACTGTGATAGGCAGATAGATAATCAGCGTAAAAATGACTGTTATTTTATTTTTTATTACATATTTTTGATTGGAAAATTTATCTGTATATTTCCTCTAAATTATTACTTTATTACTTTTATATTTTAATAGATAATCATAAAATGTGTTGAGCTTTACATTGAAAATATTCAAACAGTGTTTTTAAGGTTCTATCGAATGAAATTTCTACCAAAGTTTATTATATAAAACAATTGATATTATTTCATGGCAGGTCCGGGGGCGCCGCGCCCTCCCCCGCCCCCTCCGTCCTCTCCGCCCTCCACGCCTCCACCGCCGTCAGAACCGCGCAACCCGCGCCCCCCAGCGCCGAGGTGAGGGGTGGGGGTGAGGGTTAGTTAAGGGATTAATAAATTAAATTATTAGTCATAATTATTTAATTGATGAATTATGATGAAATTAAATAAATAAAATAAATAAATAAATAGAATAAATTAAATAAATAATAAAATTAAAGAAAAATTAAATTATTAATTATAAATTTTTGGCAACCTGTTAAGAACAAAATTTGATGAAGAATAAGTAATGATTTTAAAATAAAATTTATTTTAATGACTTTAATATGTTCGTTTTTTACTGGGAGCGGCATCTATTTTCGATAAAACAAATTTGATTTTAATGATGGTTTGGTTAGAATTTACTTTCCTACTTAAAACAAAATTTCCTTCTTAATTTTCAGCAACAATTCTTGCTCATAAGGGTTTTTTAATTATNCAGAGTTTGGTGATACTGTGCACCCTGTCTCGTACACTGACACTGTGTAATGGTGCCTTGTCAGTGTAGCAGAGAGGCGCATTTTCAGTGTACTGTGTACACTGTCTCGCACACTGACACTGTGTAATGGTGCCTTGTCAGTGTAGCAGAGTTTGGCGATACTGCGCACACTGTCTCGTACACTGACACTGTGCAATGGTGCCTTGTCAGTGTAGAAGAGTTGATGATACTGCGCACAATGTCTCGTACACTGACACTGCCTAACGGTGCAGCAATGTCAGCATACCTGATTGAAGTGATACTGTGCACTCAGTATCCCGAGATACTGACGAATGGTGTTTCTTCTACGTTTCGATAGAAGAAACATATTCTAAACACTGACGCATACATTGGAAGTTGACCCTGAAACATTTAGGATTCTACGGTTGATATCAACATTTTATTCTATAATGCACCCAGGCTGTCATTCACGACATTGGATACTAACGTGAAATCAGTTAATTAATCTTACAATGAAATTGAAAATTTATTAAGTCAAGTCAGCATATTCAATACTAACTAAGTTACCATGCACCTATTAGGTAGTATATTAGTATACTGCCATCGGTGCTTATGTTTTATATTCCTCTGTTATCTAACTTATTTGATATCCTGTACACTAATGTTAAGAGTTTTACGCCATTCACTCATGCACTGTCAATTTTCAGTCAATTCAATAGCCTGACGTATTGTTCATGTTGAACTATCATTTACGCGACACTACAAGGAATCATTCCAATTCTTTTAAAAAAATTACCATGCTTTAAAATTAAATAAATGTTGATTTGATGTTGTTGATGTTCCAAAACAACCACGAATTTACTTTAAACTTAAGTGCGTGAAAAAGCACCTGAATATTTAACATGAAATGTGTATAATTAGGCAGAAATGAAAGTGTGGACTTAGATTCGGGAAGAAATACAGATAAAAATTAATTAAAAAAATTCCCATTTACTCATTTCACAAATGATAGTTAAATGTTAGGTCCGTTATCCGTATAGTTTTTTTCTAGATAGTTAAATGTTAGTTGTGTTATCCGTAGAGTTTTGTGGTTGGAGTAACTGTGAAGCATGGGATGCAGATCTTTATATTTGTCAGACATTGTATACATATTATTTTAAAGGCATGCTAAAATATAATGACACTCATTTCTCAACCTTCCTCATGGACCTACGCTAGAAGTTTACAATTCATCTATAAAATAGATTCAAACTTAATATAAAAATATTTATATAACAGCCGTAATATAAACCTATATATTCTCGCAATTTAACTTACACTGTCATGATAAATGATGAATTAAACTATATAAGTAAAAAAACATGCAAGGATCACTTGACGGAACGTGGCCCTTCAAAATAAATGTACTGGCATCTTTCATGAAAATCTCTAATAAACGATTATTTAAGTCAATTGTTTATTCGAGATTTTCTGGAAGTCAATGAAGTTGTTTCAGGTAGTCAAGAATGTTTCAATAATAATTAGTATTCCTAATAATATAATAATAATATTCGTCAATAAATTCAATAATTTCAATAATTCTGTCCTGTTGGAAAATCGGCCAATTTTCTGTCAAAGACCCCAAATCTTTCCTAAACCTCCCTTACTTTTCATAGAAATCCAATTCACATGCACCTAACTCCTTCTTCCTCTATACTGACAATCTTCTGCACATGTAAATCTTAGTAATAGATAATTCACGCAACCACAAGAAACTCTTATTCCCGGACAGACAAATCTAACTAAGAACTGCCCATTACCTTAGAACCCTGTCTCTTAACCTAAACCTAACCATTAATTATCTTCAAAAGCCGACTGATCCCCAGAACTCTTCCATGCCTTCAGAACTCCTAGTTTTCCTGGTCCCCACAGAACCCGTCGGTGCAAGCCTTGCCCAGAACCACTTTCGTCCTCAAGTCAGAACTCCCTGCCAATTTTTCAGCTCCCACCGTCGCGACTGATGATTCTGACAAGTTCTCAGTACAGAACCAGGTAACCTGGTATCCCTCGGTTCATCAAGAACCCTCATTTTCATTTTATCTATTTGGATCGCCCAGAACCATTAAGTCGTTCTCGGTTATCCCATCACTTACAAAAGAATTCAATTCTTTTTCTTTATTACATCTTCCGTTCTACCCCCTCACAATACGGTCCTTGATTGCCTATTTACCTTATACATAACCAGTGTATTTCAGTCCATACTTTACAATTTTAAACGCATATCTCCAAAGCAATAAATCCCTATTAGTATGGTTTACATTTCATTATTTTTAGAAACAAGTTTAGCCCACATTATTATCTTAATTTTCCTTCTAACATATTTAAATAAAAATATATAGATGATTTGTTTCTTTTGTTGTGTTATTTTTAGCATTCTTTTAGGGCAAACTTCAAATCGCATAATTCTTTGTAGAGTTAACTGTTACTTTTTTGTTTCTGAGATTACTTAATTGTTAAAATTTGCTTAATCCTAACTTTGAAGTTCCTCAAAGCTCAAACTTTCCCCAAACCTTTAAAGCCTACTTTTCTTTCCAATACGTTTTGGAACTAATTGCCTACTTTCTAGTTGGTTTTTTATTGCTCTATGGGTGTGCCTTCATTCAATATTTGAATATAAATCAAATTCCTTCTTCCTGCAGGTGAATTATTCTACAGAATTTTATTTCGTATAAAATATGACAGTTACGAATTTCAATTGACCCGATATCGGGATTTCAAATTAGAGCCAGATACCCGACGTACGTGGATCGATTCTGCACCATCATTTCGTGAATGTAACCTACTTCGTCTACTCAACAATATTTGTTTCTTTATTCAAAAGCTCACTCCACGTTACGAAATTATCTATAGTCCTTAAGGGGAACCAAATACGTCGGTTGAGTCAATAAAAAGGATTTACCTGCGATCCCATTATATAAATCCACTTACCTAAACCCACTTTGAGAACTAACGTCCTCTCAGCCTTACCGCACAACCCCCCTGGTTCAACCGACCGCCAAAGCCATCACTGAGCTCGGTATCGGAAGCTACACTCACCTCCGTCTTCAGGAGGAAATTTGTTCAGGGGTTCGTGAACCCCAACTTGTGCCCGTGACCCCTGCTCAGGCCAACGCACTCAAAGCTAACGAATACATCATGAAGCAAAAGGTACGATCCTTCTTCGTTGTCCCCAGGGCAAGGTCTCCGGACCCTTCTGTGTCCATCCGCAGCTTGTTGCGACCCACCCCGGTGTTCAGAAATCGTCCGACATGGAGAGAGAGCACTACAATATCAAGCATAGGCAAGAATGCATTCAAGATAGGTGGTCAGATGATAGCCCTTAGGCCAACTAAGGTGCGTCTTGGTGCTTCACGAGTAACTAAGTTTGCTCCTAAACAGTTATTGTCACCGAGCATGTGGCGCAGTATGTTGAAGAACACCCCAGTAAAGGAGGTCAAGAAGAAACCAGTTAAGAAGGAGCGAGAAGCTCTTCCTGAAATAACTTTACGTAAAGAGAAAGTTATTCGGGTGGCGACAAGAGATATTCTAGAGGAATATTGTAACCAGACAGTCAAGGAAGGACTAACTGGCAAAAAGTTTAAGCCCCGTAACCTCAAAGTCAAAACTCACGAAGGGATTGTCGGACCCGCTAGAGCCACCGAGGTCAAGGTGCTGTTCCTCGAAGGCAAAAGGAACATTTCCGTCACTATAGTTATACGAAAATTCGAGGAATATGAAAGTTTTTTCACAGTCGGGGATAAAAGCGTACTGCCCCCTGGTCCTTGTGCATCTTTCACTTTCTCGCTTGACTACAAGAATGGCATGACTAAGAACCATCCGAAAGTTCTTCCACCTCCGACGTTCCAGTCCATAGACGTTCAGGAGACTGTCAGCATCTGCGTTACTGGCGATGCCAACGCTATAGAAGCGTGATTTCTTTATGAACATTAGATAGTCTTACTTTTATGATCGTAGATTATTCATATTAAATTAAAGATCTAATTAAATTTCCTCATGCATCTAAATTGAGACACTTATATTACATTGTTTAGTATATGAGTCCTTTGAAAATTGGATATTCAAACGATCGAACATTTCGAACAAAAGACAAACTTCAACTTGGACGCTGGTAAACTCCGTTCTCGGAGACGCCACGCGGATGATTTATATCCCGAGGAGTTGAAAATTAATCGCAAAAAATTCAGCAAATGCTTGTTGTATTGCCGAATTGTTCTCTCTCCTTGCCGGACGAATTTCAAGCAGAAGCACCCTGCACTGCAAAATTGCCCCTGTCAACTCCGCTTCTGCCAACTCCGTTCCTGTCAACTCCCCTTCTGCCAACTTCGCTTCTGTCTCCGTCTCCACGCTCGTATATTAACGCGTCAACCATCGCCTCTGTCAAGTTCCCTTCTGTCTGCCGTCTCTTCGCTCGTATTAACACGTCAACCATCGCCTCTGTCAACTTCGCTTCTGTTTGCCGTCTTCACGCTCGTATATTAACACGTCAAGCATCGCCTCTGTCAACTTCCCTTCTGTCTACCGTCTCCACGCTCGTATTAACACGTCAACCATCGCCTCTGTCAACTTCGCTTCTGTCTACCGTCTATAACCCAAGCTGCCACCTATAATGCTATAAAAATAATTGTGTCCTTATGTTGAGGTTGCTTTTGTCTTCTGTTTTTTCCTGTATTAATTTCTGAATTAATAAATTAATGTTTCTCTGTCTACTCATTGTCAGTGTATGTTTGGGGCTTGCAGTGCTTGTCGGTGTATGTTTATAGCGTCCATTGTATGTGTGCTGTAAGACTTGCTTAATTAATTGGATTATGTGTAAATCAGTGTTTATAATGCACATGTTATAATGTATGTATGTATGTATGTATGAATGGGTACGCATATATAATTTCCGCACTATCAACTGTTTACGTGGATTTGTCAGTGTATGGACTATAATTCGCAGTTTATCGTCTGAAAATTTATGATTATATCAGAAAGTCAGTGTCAGTCCGAATTATTTGTCACTTTTCGTGTATGGACACCAGTGTTCATCATTGTATGAAAGTAGCGTCCAAAGTTTTCAGTGTACCCATGCGCCATAAATTTTTTTATATGCATGTATACTCGTCCCGTCATCAGTGTATATCCTGTATATCATCAGTGTTTGGAGAGCAACAAACGACGTTACGAGCGCGTATGGAAGATGTCAAGACGTACGTCAATAAAGCGAGCGAAGTGTCGTCTTTCTTTTTCTTCCCTACGCCGGCTTGGGTTTTTTCCTACCCCATGCATCTGCCAGCGGGCACTCAACTATATTACAATTTTTATTAATTAGGAAACTTAGTCTTGAAGCACCATATATTTACGAAGCTTTACGCGAATAAAAATGGCAGTTCCAAATTAAAAATTTGGATTTGATGGTTGATCCAAGAGTTATATCGGGCGTATTATCAAAAATATCATTCATGACCGTGCAGGTAAGCGTTCTGTTATATGCGTTCTGTTATATGCGTTATATGCGGTAAGCGTTCTGTTATACGTTTCATTTATTCTATTATATACAACGCCAATCTGTTATTTGTACTGAGCGTTATGTTGGACGTTATATTTAGCAGCCTTACATGGCGCTATTAATAAGAGGCTCAGTGCAGTGAACCGCCAGTATGCCTTGCACTGTCGTTGAGTGTGGTGACGCTCCTCACGCTGCATTTTACTGAACACTATCAGGTAGGGTGGCATTTCACTTCAGAATATTATAGCCCCTTCATTTCAAATTTCAATAAATAATTTAGTTTATGAATTACTTCAGTCCACTCAAGGACACCAGGTGTAGAGTTGCGCACCAGAGGGACTGGATATGCCTTACATTCAAAGACAAATTATCAGTTATGTACGACAAATTACCCCATTCCACGTTCGAAACACAAATCCTTCTTCTACACAATGGAACTGAAACAAAACGCATTCGATTGAAAAAAAAAACTTTTTTCTCCTATTCCAATGTGGAAAAACAAATCCCCACCCCTGTTTCAGTGAAGGATGGCATATTCCCCCATCCTTCTGACGAATAACATTTTCTTCCCATTGCACTAAAAAAATCATATTGACCCCAATCGACTGGGGGTGAGCATATTCCCCCACCGTTCCACTGAGTAATTACATGCCTCTTCAACTGTGGAATAGCATATCCCCCCGTTACGCAAGGCAGTAGCACGCAAGAAGCTTTAGTTTTCATAACACAATTTAGGGAGAGGGGGGAGGCAAGGATCCTCTGGATATCCACGGACGGGGAGTCCAGTGGCTTACAGTCGAGTGTCCTGCGGCTGCGTTAATGCGTTACTGGAGCTTGAATGGCGCAAGCCAATTACCTTGTACAGTCGATTCATACGCACAATACGCTCGTTATTCTCCCGTAAAATGCCCATCATCCACTCATCATCCGCCCATCATCGGTCCATCAACCTGCGACCATCATTCACATCATCCATCCATTATAGCCCATCAACTGCCTATCAACCGTCCATCATCAGTCCATCGTCCACTCATCGTCTAACCACCAACCTGCGACCATCATACACCATCATCCGTCCATTAACGGCCCATCAACTGGCCAACATCTGATCAGCATTCATCCATCACCCGCCCATCATTCGCCCTTCATCCACCTTTATTACCTAATTATTGTTATCAGTCAAACGAAATATTGGCCAACTCTGACCCGGACACGATTTTTAATTGGGGACGTGAAACTGATCGCCATTGAGGCGTAATTGCGACCCGGAACAGAGCGATTATATGACGATACGTTCGTGACACTTGGACACTTGTCCGACACACGTGACACTTGTCCGACACACGTGACACTTGTCCGACACACGTGACACTTGTCCGACACACATGACACTTTTCCAACACACGTGGCACTTGTCCGACACACGTTACACTTGTCCGACACACGTGACACTTGTCCGACGCACGTGAGACACTTGTCCGACACACGTGACACTTGTCCGACACACGCGACACTTGTCCAACACACGTAGCACTTGTCCAACACACGTAGCACTTGTCCGACACACGTGACACTTGTCCGACACACGTGACACTTGTCCGACACACGTAAAACCAGTCAAACGCATTTGCCAACTTTAGTGTCTCCGTTGAGCACGTATCTCATCGGTATCAAACACGTGTGCCAGCTGAGCGTGTTTGTCATGCAAGCATGAAGTACGAAGTCGGTTTTTGTTTATTATAATCATTTATATTTTATTGTATTTCAAAATTCCTTCTCACACCTACTGTGGCGGCTCACATACACCCGATTTACTGTCACCGCCATAAAGAGAACTAGAACGCGCAATTGCGATTAGTCTTCTGATTTCAAATTCGTCCGTTGTCAATATATCAGCCTGTCGGGGCCTATACTTTCAAAAAAAGTTAAGAGATCGTAATTTCATCAGCCAATTATTGGAGGCCTTTCCAGCAAAATTCACTAATCATGGACATGAAAATAGAGCGTGAGTACTTACGTTCACTTAGCGAAGTTTGAAAGTATGGCCCCAGCCTTGTAACTCAAGTTAGTATGTCATGCGCCGTTGTTCACATTCGGAACCATGTAAGTCGTGATCTTCATAGCTGGAATATCTGCTATTCTGTTGTTACGACCCCTAATTCTATCACAAGGAAAATTTGGCATTATTAGATGTATAATATTGTACTTTTGTGTAATAAGTTTGTCTTTGCCGTTTCAGTTTACAAGTTAAAAGCAAAGGAAAGAACCTCTCGTGTATCTCCTTATCCGAAACTTCGTTATCTGCCAGAAAGAGCGTTAACAATGAAAGGCTCGCTCGGAACACTTACTGCATTAAAAATTGTAGTTAATGTTAGCATATCTGGCTCGAGACGGTCCATAAAGAAAGTTTCTGCTAAGAATTTTTCAAGGCAAATAGAGTACATGAGGGTCAATATGAAACACTTTGAACGATTAATGTTAAACTGGCGAAAATCAAGGCACATCAATTCGAACATAATCCCGGTTACAAAAATTTATATATAAATTCAGAACTTGAAATTCAGTCTGAACTTTTTTTCAAAGAATTTAAAGAAACGCTTCGAAATCAAATGTCGCTAATCGGTGTTCGAACTTCCCTACTGTACCGGGTATAGCTGATTCGTAATAGGGTCGCGTAGAGTAGTACCGTTGCAATGCCGGGGCCGTGTCGATTACGAAAGTCCTCAGCCGTAATGACGGCCGTCTGTTCCAATTTCCTCATGGCAGCAGAATTGTCAACGGTCGTACTTACAAATGGCCGTGATGGTTTCCACTTAAGTGACGTTACTGCTAGTCCGTGGCCGTACTGCTGCTGCTGTGCCCAACCGTACCTTCGACGTTACTTTAATGGGTTGCCGGTTGTGTAATCGCTTCACGTTTGGTTGCCATCCGAGTTGTCCGGCAATTGGATTAAAGCCAGCATGGCAGTTATGTTATTGTTAGCCATACGGAAATATAGCAAAATCGTGGTCGTCGCTTGTAGATTGTAGATGATCTTGCAGGAACGGCCGACACGGCCGTTATGTTATTGTTGGGCCAGCGGATATATAGCAAAATCGTGGTCGTCGCTTGTAGATTGTAGAGGGTCTTGCGGGAAACTTAGTGGGATCGATAAGTCGCAGTTTCTCTGGACGTTACTGTTCGCAAACGAATGAAGCCGCCGGCCTCACGCCAACACCGTCACGATGTCCGCAGACTTTGAACCGTGACGCCTTACCGTGGCTTCTGATGAACCGCGGTAAACCGAAATTGAGCTACTTTTATACGTAGCAACCGCGCGCACATCTTCCACGAAATGACATCAAATTCCTCCCCTCAAGGTATTTTCCTCGGCAAAGTTCGATGCGAACAAACTCGGTCTCACGGTCTCGAAACAATCACGTCTTACGCACTCTACGTCGTTTGGAACGCACATCCCTAACCTTCTCAATAAATGCACGCTAATTTTTTTACTTATATTCAGGTGGGCAGCTAGTGTCCTTTATTTGCCCGCGTATCCTGTCATCGGTCCAGAGTCTCCTTTACTGTTTTCACGTCAGAAATGGGATGGTCTTATTCATAGACAATTCAGCGTCAGCTGGAGGGTTTAACGCCAGGAAGAAGAAGGTTTTATTCACAGACAATTCAGCGTCAGCTAGAGGGTTCAACGCCAGGAAGAAGAAGGTTTTATTCAAAGACAATTCAACGTCAGCTGGAGGGTTCAACATCAGGAAGGGGAAGGTTTCATTCAAAGACAATTCAGCGTCAGCTATAGAGGGTACAACGTCAGGAAGTGGAAGATTTTATTCAAAGACAATTCAGCGTCAGCTGGAGGGTTCAACGTCAGGAAGGGGAAGGTTTTATTCATAAACAATTCAGCGCCAGCTCGAAAATTCAACGTCAGCAACATCAGAACACTTCAGCTACACTTCAGCTAAAGAAAAGTTCGATGTCAGCTGAGGGATGGATTCATCGTCAGCCGACGGAGGTTGGGAGGTTCATCGTCCCAATGACCCGACGCGACGATGAACTCGTCAACAGGCGAATTATTCAACGATGAATGTTGCTTTGAATGCAGCGCGGCGGGACGGGCCACGGGTCTTGGCACGCCGGCTCTCCTAATAATAAGACCGTCGCTTGTGTCACTTGCTTGTCAAAACAGAGCTGGGGTCCAACGACCCCCTTTGGGGGGAAGAGGGGTTACTTTCTCCCATGATGAGAAGAGGGAGGAGGAGTAAGAAGATAAGAAAGTGGGCAATGGGAGAGGAAGATGAGGAGAGGGAGGGTGATGGAGGAGGGAGGGCGAAGGAGGAGGGAGATGAGAAGAGGGAAGGCGATGGAGGAGGGAGATGAGAAGAGGGAAGGCGATGGAGGAGGGAGATGAGAAGAGGGAGGGCAATGGAGTAGTAAGAAACTACGAAGGCATGCGATGGAGGAAGGAAATAATAAGACTGAGGTGATAGTTAAGGAAGAGAAGCAAGGAAGTGCAGAGTATTTCGCAGCGTAAACTACGTGGCATGCAGCGGACGAGCGTCCTTCTCACTCAGCCTCCATTTAAAATATATCACTCAGCCTGCAGTTAATATATGCGTGGATCTGAAAGTCTAATAAAATATATATATATTATTGTCACGTGACAATAGCGGCCCCCTGCCAAGACTGGGGGTAATGGGGGGAAACCCCCGCCCCCTACCCCGCCCCCCGGCTGGGTGGAGTAGAATGCAGCTTCCTAAAAATAGCCTAAGCTTCAGCAATGCCAAGATGTCTCAGAACTGCGCCATGTACTGCGCCATAACGCTGCCTACTGCACCATAACGCTGCCTACTGTGCCATAACGCTCCCCACTGCGCCTTATAATTGCAAGCTCAAGAACGTCATCACTTGAGAACAATTTGGTTGCGCATAATTTGTTCGAAAAAAAATATTTGATCTTGCACGAACTTTGAGATCTGCAAAATGAACAGTAAACCGCGGCTAGAAGCTGCCACTGACTCGGTGGGCCAGTGCCGGGTGACTGGACTATTGACATGATTCTTCCAGTCATATGTCTTACATGGTTTCAAGGCATATACATTTGTTTCAAGTGGGCTCTTTCTCTTAGAAATTATATTACTTGTGTTTTCCCTTCATTTTTTGTACAATTTCAGTTCAGATTAATTTTTAATAATTTTATGGTCATGTAACAAATCATCGTAGGATATTGCAAACTACGAATACTTGGTTGGTTCGGAACCAACAGGTCACATTCACTTCCTTTTCCATGGCAAAGATGTAAATATGGGAGTGTTGAAAATATTTTGATCAGTCCTTGCTTACGGATGATATAAGAATGAATGAATTAATCCAATCGCAACCTACTGGAAGGATTAAATTCTTATGCAGTGGAATTTAATATTTCGTTTGCAGCTAAACTATCGTCCTGATGTGTTTCTGTTTCTCTCCCGCCCCACCCCGCCACCTTCACCGGCACCTCCCGTCGCCTTCACTGTGGCGGGACGCCTTTATTTCGTCCATTCGTCGTGGTCTCCGTCACGTCCTGTCATCCCAACTCTCGTCCGCCGTCCATCTTGCTCCTCGTGAACCCTGCCCAATCATCACTCCTTATAACCCCCCTCACCCGGTCCATTCTCTCTTGCCATACGTGCCCCCCCCGGTCCCCATGCTTCTTTCTGTGACCATGTTTCCTCCATAACCCCCCTTCCCATACGGTCCCCTCTTCCCTTCCGGTCACCTCTTCCCCTCCGGTCTTTTCTTCCCCTTCGGTCTCCTCTTCCCCTCCGGTCTCCTCTTCCCTTCCGGTCTCCTCTTCCCCTTCGGTCTCCTCTCCCCCTCTGGTCTCCTCTCCCCCTCCGGTCTCCTCTTCCCCTCCGGTCTCCTCTTCCCCTCCGGTCTCCTCTTCCCCTCCGGTCTCCTCTTCCCCTCCGGTCTCCTCTTCCCCTTGCCGCTGCCAAGTATAATTCAGCCGCTGGCCTTTACGCCAACCAGAGCGGCGGCTACCTCAACAAGAAGCCGGGCATGATAACGCCGTGAGTAAATACGCACACCCATAACAAACTTTAATTTTTTCACCGTTCATTTTCTAATAGACTTAAAAGCTGTACACCAGAAATTCTCACCAGCCTCACAGATCAAATCATTCATAAACAACACTGCGTCGACTGCTCTGCGTGAGTATAAATAACCAGAACTTTCAGAGAAAAATGTACTCAAGTATTCAAATAACAAATGTCAATAGTAACCCGCTTGCGTACCAACTAGTCACTTTGCATGCCTCGTGTGGTAGATGTTGTTGTGTTACAGTTTTAGTTGTGAATTGTTAATTAATATTAAATATTAAGTACGACTGTTTCAGACCACGTAAGCCCACGCCAGGACCTCGCGAATGAGTGCCTGATGTTTCGGTTGTTGTTCACTGGTTCTTCGTCAATCATCTTTCTTCTAACGTAACGCTGTTCAATATATCAATTGAAATTGTAGTATTTTTCATTTTCGTATTCGTTTAAAACTACTTTTGTTCTTATCAGTATAATTACAGATTCTACAAAACAATCCTTGACAATTTGAAGTAGAAAAAAACGTCCATGAAGTAGAAAAAAACAATCCATGAAAAAGTAGAAAAATTTTCAGGACCTATGACAATGCAATGAAAGAAAAAGAGTGACCACCAAAAATCTCCATTTCAAAGTCAATTTAGAGAGTTTCCCGATTTTGTTTAAATTCATGGGCGCTGTTTCAGCAATTTTTGTGTTAATAAATGTTGCTAATTTTTTTGTAATTATTTCCTGTTAGCGCAACATAAACTATATTTTTACCAATAATTTCAGCTTTGGTATTAATTTAACAGATTAATTCAACATGTTTTTTCAATTTTGCATAATTCAGCTTCTTCACTAAAAATTACTTACTACTACAAACTACTATAGCGTTACAAGCCTGCGTGGTTCAGTTTTCACTAGTAGTACTCGTGAAGTTTGGCACAAATATCACAATACTAAGTGCAATTCAGCAAAAAATATGGTGAAAAACTGGAAAACGTTTTTCATTAAAGTCCGAGATTATATATTTCATTCCCTCTCAGCTGTGGTAAACCGCATTCTCTCTTGTGTCTTCCGTCGATGTCTTGAAATTTACAATAATTTAAATCGCGAGACCTCATGTTGACAACTGTTTTGTTCATGCAACATGAATGGTCAATATACACCAAGCAAGGAACTCTTATTTCGTCAGGTCGACTAACTTCAAGCCACTAGTGATCATTCCGCATTAAACTTTAAATTACGCCTCTGACTGGTTCAGAAACGGTAATGAAGCTTTCACGCTTCAGTAGTTTCAAAACATTGCCACTAAACAAAATATTAAATTATTAACTACTAGCTGATTAAACATCATCCAATTTGTGTGATAAACTCTAAAAATTAAAGTAGTTATAGGAAAGTAGCTATTTTAAAACCAACGAATATTTAACATCTGAATTTAACACTCTTCCAGTTTGTTTTTGGTAGTAAGTTCCTGCAACGCAATACTAACACTACAAGCATGAGTTTGAACACTAATGGGAACGCACGCATTACTTGTCCTACCAAATTAAACAATTGGCGAAATCAATCGGCATTTAGCAATAATATTAATTGGTTATGCTTCGTTGTTATTATTATATGATGAAATTACATCTATTTATATGGATTTATAAGCACGAAATTATATTTATTTAAATGGCCCTTAGTTAATGTTGACAAAACGATTGCAATTGGTTACGTATGAACGTGCTAAATTGTTCACTGCATAATTAAGGTGGTTAATACTTGAACAATTTTCTCTATTACACGTTTTCTGTGCGTTTTCTATGTAGTCTTCTAGGTCTTACCCAATCAAACTTCGTAAAAATTTTAATATTACGATTTTAGAAGTAGATTGGAATTTTGTTCTCGTTTATGTTCAATATGTGCATTTTAAAGCTTATGCGCAAATTTTTTATGGTTTCATTATTTTAGAGTGAGTTACTTGTCAAACTTTTGGTTGATGTTACTTCAGATCACCCAGCGTCGGCCGGCAACAACCTCTTGTGACCAGGCAAGTCATGAAAAGTTAACTCAACCATATTGATCTACTCTGAAATTTTTTCTTCCTTTCTCTACGTTTGTACTTAAATGCTATTATGTGGAATATTTTTCATTGGTTTATTTCTACCTTAATAGTGCACAATTATAAGCGCAAACCATTCATATGTCATCTATAGAAGTAAATGTAGATATATGCAATGGAAGATAGTTTCAGCTACAACGATGATGTAATCAGTGACCTGACTCGGTGGTCAACTCATGGATATAACAAATTATTCACTCCAACAAAGTTCAAACTGAAACTACAGGTGCAGATACATAGATGTCTTTTACCCAATAGATGTCATAATATAACAATTAATTTCCATCTAAAATACACAAACGGCCTCGCAGTTTATAGTTTATGAACAGCAGGCTCGTCTAATTACATATGTATTTGTATGTATATTAGGGTATTATTGGGCAAAGGTCGAACTTTTCGGCATTAATAGCTTACCTCGCTCAAAGTAGTATAGTTAACCACTTACCTCCGTTTTCCTATTAGCTAGCTAATTAGATAAATCGGCAATGTTAAACCATAGAAACCTATTTGCTGATGAATGGCTTTCTTCTTTCCTCCTCATCGAATGTGATTTTTTCTGAAAACATCGCTGAAAATTCTCCAAATTGTGGCTTCGTTAATATTCCGTATGTCAACTCCACATGATCACGTCAACCTTTCGGGCCATGGCAAAATTTTTGAACCACATGGGCTCAACGAAATTTTTAACTGTACGTCGATCCTCGGCAACAACTCTCGTCACAATCAGCACTTGCGTCGATATGGCAACGTGACTTACGTCAACCGCCTTACGGCAACGTCTCACGTCACAATCATCCCTTGGCACCGTGACTGACTTCAAACTTCTCAACACAATTCAACAACGAACAACACCTCCGCTGCTAGCGCTAACGCTTGCTGTTAACATCGCGACTGAAACACTTAACTCTGTAATCTTCCATTGATCGTTCGATTAACATATCGCCTTATTTATACTTTTGTATATGTTTTTATTAAACCGTTATATTTTATGTGAACTAAACCATTGTATTTTATTCTGCTGTCACTGTTGGACCAAATGGTAACATCGCTCTCCCACTACCATCATTGGGCCACACCACTTGTTCCCGTATCACATCTCTCTATCCCCTTGACATAACCCCCTCTCCCCTGCATCGCCTCTCTCCCCCGCCGTCCCCATGCAGTGTCAACAAGCCCCCTAAGAACCTGCCATTTTTCGGCCTATCCAAGAAGTACGATCCTGAGCAGAGCGCCACCTGGCAGGCGATCCACGAACAAGAGAACTGCCAGCTCATCACCGAGCACGGGCCAACCGAGTCTAAAGTCTACTCCATCTAACCTTCATCGCCCTCATCCTTCATATTCGCTTTGTATCTTCAAGTTATTTTTTGCTGATTATCTCTTCTATTCATAGTTTTTGCATCACCAAGTGATCAGTTTCATCATTTTACGGAATTTAAATACAGTTTTAACCGGAACTTATGTCCAACTTCAACTTTATGCGCCTTCGTTCAAACTGAATTCCCTAAAATTTACTTATCCATCACAACTTATTTCATCCCCAGCTTTCATTTTTCACCAACAATCCCTATTTTCCCATCTTTAATCAATAAAAAAATCCATCACACGCTCATTCTCCCCCCAACATCATCATCTTTTTACGAATTAATCCTCACTGCCCGGCTTCGAAGTTTGAACGCGCCTAAGAACGAGACACAGAAACAAGGACTCGTTTATTTCATCAAATATTTGGACTAGAAGTTGTAGATACTTGTTATTATCCTTGCCGTTGTTGGCAATTCTTCGTTGTTGTTTGCAAGGCATTCTCTGTCGAGTTATTTTCTCTCAGAAGAATCTTTTCGGGTTTTTATCTCGCCACGGTGGCTGTACATATTTAACAAGCAAACCTTTTAATAGCAATAAGTGCTTATCTACTCCATCTTTCGTTTATTGCCTCTTGCTCCCAGCACGCTTCTCACCTAGTTTGCAGTGACTCAGTCTTATATTTCCAACTGACACGTGTTATCCCAACAGCCCATGCAATTTTGATTTATTTTTAACGGCATCTTGAGTCGTAATTTTGCTTCAATTTTGAGTGTAACTCTACATCTGCAATGCCACGCGCTTTATTTTAACAATTTAAACGAAGAATAATCCGGTGCACTGCAATAACAAGCACCGCTGACCCCTGAACTGCCTCCCCTCCTAACCGCTTTCTTGTAACTTGTGCACCCCCAGCTCGCGGGGCTCGAGTGGTCCCCCCGCTGCCGTAATCCTAACCCCCAACCACGACTACAACCCCACACAATCCCCCACGTGGTTACTCCTACGCGAGACTGAGAACCCACCTACGCTTGAGGAGCTCCAAACCCCCGACATGAACCCCCACGACCCCATCTACTCGGAGGTGTACTCAGCCCCAAGAGCCCCAACTTCGGGGGCTAAACCAATACGACCGGGGTTCAAAGGAGGATCCCCAGTGGGAGGCAGCTCCATGCTATCCCCAGGACCCCAAATGGGGAGCAGGATGTCGGCTCCCCAGAGTGGATCAGGAACTCCACCCCCACAGGGGGCGCTAACCCCCGTAGCTGCCGCTGCCCTCGCAGAACCTGCGCCCCCCAACAGCCGTGGACGTTCACCCAGGGATGAGCATTTCCCACTCTACGAAGTGAGATCTTGAAATGTATATCCTACTGAATAATCAAGATTCATTTGTGATGAATTAGCGTTATTAGATCATCTGTATTACAATGCATCTCTCCAAATACATCACGATAATCTACCGGCGTCTAATATGTTCTTTATATCTCAATTTCCAGACGAATTCGATTGGCGGGCGTCGACGTATCGCGCAGAGTTCCAGCTTCAACAAGCTCATGTTTAACATGTTGGGCGAGTAACATGTCAACAAGCTCATGTTTAACAAGTTGGGCGAGTAACATGGTTCTACACTACGATTCAACTTGCCACGATCACCGTAATATCGTCCACAGGATATGAGTGGTCACATTTTTACTATACATCACGCAACATGTTCATGAGCCCCAACATTTTCACCACACATCACGCAACATGTTCACGTGCCTCAGCATATTCACCCCACATTATGCAACATGTTCATGTGCCCCAACATATTCACCACGCATAACGCAACATGTTCACGTGCCCCAGCATATTCACCACGCATCACGCAACATGTTCATGTGCCCCAACATATTCAACATGTTCACCACGCTGTGTTCGCAATAAAGTTTCACCGATATTGGCCTTCCCAGATTAAGTTAAAATGTTGTGTTTTGCCATAAATTTAAAACGTCTTATTACTTAATTAATTAATAAGTTGTAGACTAAGTAGGAAGTGTTCTAATGATAGAAATATAGGAAAAAATAAATACCTGCTTACTCAAAAGACGAGTTATATTTATAAAATATTAAATCTTACATACCGTAGATAATAATAATTGAACAAACTGATGAATTACATGATTATGATATATTATGTTATAGAATTCATGATTATGCAGGAATTAAACATATATAAAATTCTTACGTAAACATCTTTGTTCATTAATGAATAATTCGTTATAACTGGAATACCGAAATTATAAAAAGTCTACCGGCATTAATGAAGCAAGCACAACAAATTGCAGTAAACTCGCGCTTGTTCAGAGAAAATAGTTTGAATCAATTGCATCGTCCAATTATTAGAAAATTTACTTCTGTTGTTCTCGGTTTTTCCTTTATAAATAAAGTGAATAAACGACTGAATTTCATTACCCTGAATTCATTTAAATGCGCGTATCTCAATTATAAGAATCTCGTCAAAAATAAAGAATATTTGAAAAAAGTGTGCAAATATTTAGTGATGCACATTATACTCAAAACTCTCTACTTGTGAGCAAATAATTTTGAAACTTATGGTTCCTATTGAAAAGAAACTTGTCAGGACGTATTGAACAAGAAGCTGCATATATTTGGCTGAGTTTTAGTTCCATCAATTCATGAAACATTTTTGTACTTCTATATTACGTTTTTTACCGACAAAATTCCCATAATGTCACATGAAACAACAATGTTCCAATGTGACTCGCAATCCGCATATGAATGGCTTTACCTAACCATCTATTCAACAGCTAATATATGCCACATTATACCAGCTTAACTTAGTACAAACAACCAGCACCTGCGGTCTCAACCAACCAGCACCTGCGGTCTCAACCAACCAGCACCCGCGCAATACGTTGTACATTAACCTACACCATACAACAAATGCACCAAGACAACCCTAGACATCAATAATATCTTATAAGATAAACTGACAATAATTGGTTGAATCATTATACCGCACAATGTTTTTCTGTAAACAGTGCCAGCTAAACCACATTTTTGAGAGTTATGAAGCATAAATTAGTATTTATAAGGACAAAACATAGTCGAGTTAACGAGACAAGATGTAACAAACCAGCTAAGCAAATACTTCATAACGTCTCGTAAATATTCCAACAGTTCATTCTTTTCATGACTGAGATAAGCACAGACATTTTATTTACTACAAATCCTACAATCCTACAAATATTACAAGATTTGCATCAGAAAAGTTTTTTGTTTAGTGCCACTGTGTCGGTACGATTTCTCATGTTCGTATACCATTGGTCACCAATTTGCTGTCTATTACAACATCACAAGTTAGTATTCCACAACGCACTGTATTCAGAATATGTCCTTGACACCAACGAACCAAACGAACATCACAAATTAAGCGGCGTGAAGAATAAATTTGTATCGTTAAATGATACCGACACTTGACCATCTGAACAAGTGAATCAAATGGATGACATGAATAAATGACAGAGACATGTTCTATGAAAGATGATTAGTAATATAGACGCCCGTGGTGAACAGGTTTCAGTTCCACATTATAACTCAATATATATATATAAATAGGGTAGGGAGAATATTCATAGTATAATGTCACATAAGTTATTCAAATGCATCATAACTACCAAAAACAACCATAACTGAGTATCATAAATTCACAGCCTCCAAAGCTGGATTTACCAAAGTTAGCCCAAAACAACAAAGAATGTGATTAAATATTCACAAAGAATGCTGGTTCATTTGTGATTCGATAATAATCCATTAATACGACTTAAAACTCTTACTTAGGGATGGAAAATACTGACCAAATCGGCAAGTACAGCAAGCTTATTCTAGCTCCAGATAGGAGCTTTGAACGGAACTTGGCCTTTGAGGTTAACAGGGAACGTTAAAGGAAACTCAGCGGCCCGAGGGCAGCAGCTTACTGAGGACTGCGGCCCGAGGGCAGCAGCTTACTGAGGACAGCGGCCCGAGGGCAGCAGCTTACTGAGGACAGCGGGCCGAGGGCAGCAGCTCCCTGAGGCGCACGACAATACAAGCGAGCTGCATGAAGGGCCTCGGGGTTGGCAAGAATTGGTGCCATAATCAATGAGAACTCAGCAATAAAGGAAGTTAAGAGTAAAACATTAGATAGGAACAAATGCTAGCACAGAATCCATCGTAAAGCATGGCATACCTATTTTATTAAACAGGTTGATCTAATGGAAGAAGCTCAAATTCTGACATATTCTCTAATAATTACCTTTAGCATCAACTATTGTATTACAGTCAGAAATAATAACTTCAACGTCTAGGTATTGCAAATAAACAAAAACAACCAACATTAAGTAAAGTCTGCATTGGCAAGATATTACCAAAAACAAACAGCTGCATTATAAATGAAATTTGTAACAGAAGGATACAAAACAGAAAAATTATGCCTGAAGGATACGAGAACAGAAACCAACTTAAGCCATTTACGCTCCAAATAATTCAAGTCGGTAACAAGTACAGAAAAGCATAGCAACCGCACAGGCACGAGCCTCAGATGAGGTCCATATTCTTCACTAAGGCGCTGGTTATTAACATCAATACAACTTAAGCCCTTCATGTGAAGTTGACGCAGCAGGAGTTGACGCTGCAGGTGTTGACATAGCAGCAGGAGTTGACACAGCAGCAGAAGTTGACGCAGCAAGAGTTGACACTGCAGGTGTTGACACAGCAGCAGGAGTTGACGCAGCAGGAGTTGACACTGCAGGTGTTGACACAGCAGGTGTTGACATAGCAGGTGTTGACATAGCAGCAGGAGTAGACATAGAAAGAAGTGAAAAGCAAAGACGGGACGAGGTGGGACGAGACGGGAAAAACTAGGGGACGAAGTAGGGAGATGGGAACCACTCGAGGACGAGGTAGACTGGGATGGGAACAACTAGGGGATGAGGTGGGCAGGGGCGGTAACTCATCAGTTGCGGTGCGTGGTCTTGACTGTGGAGCGCAGGAACTTCTGCTGCAGGAACATCGCCCACATAAACACTGGCCGCGGCAAGAAGTGCACAAACCATTTCTGCACAATGCAAAGGATTACGACAAACCTTTTTGTTGGATTAGTATTAACTACACATGACTTACGAGGGCTAACATTTCAAAGTAGCTCACGTAAAATACAGAATAATAGCAATTATAAGAGAGAATACCAGTATGCAACAGGAAAACGCACCAATGTAAATAAAAGTTTGAAAACTTGCTCTCCACTCAAAATAGTGTGATGTATATACTGTAATATAGGTACTATACTATATACTATTGTAAACTAATCCCTCACTATATCGCTCTTAACCTACCGCGGTTATATTTCATTGCGGATTTCCAAGAAATATTTTATTAGAAGAATAGTTTGCGGATCTTCAAACGTTCGCGGGTTTCTGAAGAAGTCAACTGGCAGATTTAAACAGCCCGCAAAACTCAATCAGGAGAAAGGTGGGAAGGGTAAGTAAAAGTTAAACAAATTAAACAATGAATCCTTGTTAAACAATTACAATTTACTACTTAAATAAGTACTTTCAGTCACACAATTCTCTTTCGCTGAGTTCACCTATCGCGCAAAAAGTCTGGGCCTATACTTTCAAAAAAAGTTAAGAGATCGTTAGTTCATCAGCCAATCATTGACGGCTTTTCAAGCAAAATCCACCAATCATAGACAAGAAAATAGAGCGCAATTACTCACGTTAACTTAGCGAGTTTTGAAAGTATGGCCCCTGGAAAGTAACACCCGCAGAGGGTTAGGGATTACTGTACTGTTGCATACTGCTGTATACTACTTTATACTGCTGTATACTATTGCATCCTGCTGTATACCTGCACGGTTTCGCTCACCTGTATGCCGTGAGTCCAGTAGCCGGTGGTATAGTCAGTGTAGCCGATGGAGGACACAGCAGATGCGGCGAACTGCGCCGGCGTGGGGATGAACAGGTCTGCAATATAGACCAGTGTTATAGTCTGCAGTATAGACCAGTGTTATAGTCTGCAGTATAGACCATTGTTATAATCTGCAGTATAGACCAAAGTTATAGTCTGCAGTATAGACCTGTGTTATGGTCTGCAGTATAGACCAGTGTTATAGTCTGCAGTATAGACCAGTGTTATAATCTGCAGTATAGACCGATGTTATGGTCTGCCGTATAGACCGATGTTATAGTCTGCAATATAGACCTGTGTTATAGTCGGAAATATGGGCCATAATTATACGAGACATAGACCGGCGTCATGACACATCTGCCATTAACGCGTTAAGTGCGGCTATGTCGCATTCGGGGCGTACTTCATACCGGTGTTACGGCCCACCGGTGGTTCCACTAGTGCGTACTACTCACTAGTGGCGTGGGTGCACTAGTTACACACTAGGTAGCCACTAGTGGCGTGGGCGCACTAGTTACATACTAGTTGTTCATTAGTGGAATGGGTGTACTTCGAGAAGCTCATCATGTTTTGTACTAAGTATGTACTAACTAGTGGCGTAAGTGTACTAATTAGACACTAAATACTCACTAGTGGAGTGGGTGTACTTGAAGAAGCTCGTCATGTTGGTGTACCAGGTAGTCACTAGTGGCGTGAGTGCGCTAATCAGACACTAGTTACTCACTAGTGGAGTGGGTTTACTTGGAGAATCTCGTCATGTTGGAGCACTAGCTACTCTCTAGTGGTGTGACTACACTAGTTAGACACTAGTTACTCACTAATGGAGTGGGTGTACTTGGAGAAGCTCGTCATGTTGGTGTATTAGGTAGTCACTAGTGGCGTGAGTGCGTTAATCAGACACTAGTTACTCACTAGTGGAGTGGGTGTACTTGGAGAAGCTAGTCATGTTGGTGCTGACGTAGCAGGGTGTGACGGTCTGCACGGTGATGCCACGACGCATGAAGTAATCGCACGCCACCGCGCGGCTCAGGAACTCCACAAACGCCTGAAACATTCATGATTTGTGAGCAAATTAAGGAAAACACAGAGAATAATTCATACCGGGCAATAATTTTCTACATAAGAGGGATAAACATGGAGAATAATTCATACCGGGTAATGATTGTCTACATGAGTGGGATAAACACAGAGAATAACTGATGCCAAGAAAGAAGTAGATGACTATTCTACTCTATGGCACTGTGCCTAATGTGTAGAGCTCTATAGCACTAGCAAAAACTGCATCATTAGTTAAGCAGAAGTGAAAACATACATTTTTCAACGTTTACACATGTGGTTGTAGCCTGCCTCACATATCTTAGAAGAATGGGATAATGGATGCATGCTCTACTTCCCTGCTGATGTAACAAGTGTTGCATCCCAACTGTCCTGCTATACTTACAGCACTCAGTGCGTCAAGTAACGGATGCTTTACATGGCAATCATGAAATAAATTATATAGATCATGACTTAGAAATTGAATGACCCTGAATAGAAATATAATACCCGCACAAAAAAGTGAAGGTTTTCTAGGAAGCGATTTGCATGGACAATCTAAATTACTCACCAGTAGCTGGGATGAAGGCCATCACAAATGACGTGTATCTTGAATCATATATCTTCTTTAAATTCAATACAAGAGAAGGACAGCATGCAAAAGCTCAAAAGAATGAAGAAACTGACAAGTCTAAAATACGATTCTAATCACAAAGAATCACAAAGAAATTTGTGCCCTTGCAAGAGCACTCAGCCACTTGCAGGAGTGTCTAAGGCACCCCACCTATCTATGCCTACTTAGCCCTCAACTTAGGCAGATATTGTTAACTCAGATGTAAAAAATATTATTACCTGTGCACAATTTTAGCCATGGAAACAAAATAATTACTCGAAAGATAAAATATTGACAAGCAGGAAGAATAGTATCTGCAACAAAATAATAATAAATGAAGTCAAAGGTAACAATAATTGAAGTCAATTCAACTTAAAGAAGAATGCTCACCTTGGAGGCAGCATAAATGCTAAGCATGGGCATGGGGCCATACGCAGCAATGGACGCAATGTTGACCACGGCGCCCTTGCCCCTAGCCAACATCTGAGGCATGATGATGGACATCATGGCGGCCACAGACCCCATGTTGACATTGATGTGCCTCCATATCTCCTCCTCTGTGATTTCTTCATACAGCTTTGGATATGGGATCATCACACCAACGTTGTTGACTGCACAATAAGATATTTCTTGGATAACAGCTGAAAAAGCGCAATTCGGAATTGAAGAACACCTGATACACTCTAACAAAAACAGAAGAGCAACTAGCATATCCTAAACTGGAATTAAACTTTGAGAGGTTCCTTGGAAAATTCTAGTAGATGTTATGCACATATGCTTAGGGTACGTATGAGATCAGGACGTCCTTTGATTTCATCAGTTTAGTTATCATGTACTCAGGTTACTGGGCCAGCCAAGGGGGCAACTTTGGGCAATAATACAAGCAATCAAAAGTCATGAATATTGGTTGACCGTAGTGTTTTTTATCTATCATTTGCATTTATTGAGCTACTCAGATAGTTTACGCATGAACAAACAATTTTATATTGAGCGAGTAACTCGGCCAGTTTCTGCATGAACAAATGATTTCATTTTCAGTAAGTAACTCTGCCAGTTTTCACATGAACAAATGATTTCATACTGAGTAAGTAACTCAGCCAGTTTCAACTTGAACAAATGTTTTCATACTGAGTAAGTAACTCAGCCAGTTTACATATGAATAAATGTAGTTTCATGCGGAGTAGGGCAAACAAATTTCAAAGCTCACTTAGGACGCCAATCTCTTTCCCTGCAAGCTGTTCTTTGATTCTTGAGTAGAGGCTGCGGCCTTCACTGAAGTCTGCTTGGATTATAGCCGTGTCCACTTTGTACAGCGACTCTGAAAACAAAACAAATGTGAATACAAATTTATTCACTAAAATTTTAATAATTTAATTTACTATATTTCAAAAACTCTATGGTAATAATTAATAACATAATATATTATTTAGAATAATTAAAAAATATCTTTAGTGGCTTTATGCACAAATTTGAATTATTTAACAGCAAGATCTCAATCATTATTTTTATGATAATTTACTTATTTCCTCAGCAACCGAGTTGAGCTTTTCCAGAGACCGGGAGATGAGGACAATACTGAGGCCATCCTTGGCCAGCTCATGGCAGTAGGCCTTACCAATGCCATCAGTGCAACCCGTCACAACTGCAAACACATTCATTAAAATACCTCATTAATTATTAAATAAAACCTAGCTCTTAGGTATGGTGATTGGTGAGCAAAGACATTGATTATGTACATTGATGTCTCAATTATTATTAACCCATAACTAATTTTATCCTAAAATAAAGATTCAACCTCCCTCTTCAATAATATGTATTGCATACTTTTTATTGAATACAATAATACTTTTAATATTATATATTGATAAATTTATGTTTGGTTCTTTTTTATTTGAGGTAAATTAATATGTTATTGCTAGAAGCACATCACCATAACTTTTTTAAGAGTGTAGATATAAATGCTTGTTATATTGGTGATATCAAGATTTTGCAGATAGTCGGTACATAGCACACTCAATTGCGTGACTACTGACTAGGCTGAAGTCACACATGAATGAGACAAAAATACCCTTGTTTACAGTAAATTTTACTGGTTTTAGTGGCTTTGGCTTTGCCTAATTTTTACATCAAAAATAAAAACTACAGCACCTTTCTCCTAAAGATTTTTGAAAAATAGTTAATAAAATGATACCTAGATTTTAACTGAACATTCTGGAAAATTCTGTCCAATTTTTATTGCTTGTTGCAAAACTGTCAATGTTCCAGTCTTCACAGTCAATTTCACTCATTTTTAGCAGATATTCTCATTTATGGAAATAAGATGGAATTGTGCCTGTCATATCCTTCCCGGACCTTCCGTCTGTCTGTCTGTCTGTCCGTGACTTTCCGTTTGTACTTTGTATTGACAAGAAAATGAGTGCTCTGTCTGTGTCACTCACTGCAACTGCAGTGAGTAGGTACTGGTGAGTGGTGATACTGATACCTAACTGATCTAATCATTCTAATGTTTTATAAGTTATACCTAGTCATTGGAAAATTTATTTTGATAAAATTAGAAACACTGCCACATTTTCGCTGACAATTTCCTAAAATCTCTCATGAAACCTAATTTTGTCTATTCATGATTTTGGGAAATTTTCAACCTAGGCCTAGGTAGTATTGCCTAATAGCTGATATTTCAGATTGCTGAGAATCTGACTTATGAGATTAGTAAATTTAATATCCATGCCTAATGCATTATGCATGATAGAGTAGCTACAAGCACAACTTGGAATATTGGGCATTGGGCATGGGCAGAATTTTCCTTAAATTGCAGGTAAAAATGATTGTTTCATCATTGTTTAATAGAAAAAAACTGGTAAAATTAGGCCCATTTTCTTATTTTTCACTGAAAAAATTACTAAAATAGCCATAGGGAGTCGATGATAGGACTTACTTCAAAGCATAAATGAAATATATGATAAATACGTAACGTTTACATTATACTTAGGTAGGTAGGCCTACTCAGTACTCACCTGCCCATTTACCACCGTAACGCTTTTCGAAATTTTTTTTCCATAGTCTCGACCACATTAGGGCTCGTACTCCAACAAGAATATCCCATATCGTCGTTATTGTGAATTTTCCTAATATTAAAATACCTAGCAATGCCAAAAAATCTCCAAACATTTGTAGAGCGGGTGAATTCAATTGTGAGAACAACATTTCGAAAGAATCCACACCACCTCTTGCTGACAGCGGCACTGACAGAGTGGCAGGCATAGCGAGCTACGTTAGCGGCTTGCGGTTGCCGTCTTTCCAACTCAGGGACAAAACAATGATGTGGACCCTGCGCGTGAACTGCGTAATATATATTCTTTATTTAGATTATTCAAGTTAAACACACGATTTAACTATTAAATAGAGTTACGCCAATAAGAGCTTTTTATGATGGCATTGAATATTTTGTAAATCTTTCGCTGTCCTCTCAGAGGCTGGAAAAGCCTGGAATGATTGCGGTCAGGGTTGCGGTTGCCGGCCCAGATGGAGCCAAGGAAAAAGGCCAATTTAGCTCACAAAAAAGGCCACAAAGGCCTCATTAGATATTAATAATAAAATATAAATTGAAGGAGTTCTCACCATTTGCAGTGCATGCAATTAGTCTCAAGGCTTTTAGACAGCAAAAAATTCACCAATATCAGTTATCATCAAGTGTACGAGCTGAATTACCGTCAATGCTAAATGAGCCACCATGCGGCAGTCTGCCGCGAATTGCATTATTTGCATGTAATACTCGCCGATCGTAAATAAAACCGTATAAATACTGGTCAGAACTATGATATTCAGGATTCGATTGTCACCTAACAACTATAAAACTTTTCGATCGCGTTAGAGAGTTTTGGCTCAGTTTTGCAAACAAAATAGTGAAGTGGCCGGCGACATAAGTAATGTGGCGAAGTATTTGGTATTGACGGTAGAATATTTATACTCGGAAATGAATATAAATTTAAAGTCATTTCTGCGGTATAAAGATGATGCGGTCCTTGCACGACTAAGGTAAATATTAAACGTCAATCCTATAAATTTTTCACAACTACTTTTGAATGAGTAGATAACTACCTACGCCTATCATAACTTGGTAGATATCGCCTATCATAACTTGGAGAGGAGTAGTTATTATATTTTTTCAACGTGAAATTTTGTAGTGACTCACACCAGAAGACAGAATGTATCGAGAAACAGCGCTGTAACCTCAAAATTCGTGCTGAATTTACTACTCTTTAGAAGTGAAAACTATACTCGATTATACGCTCTCTCAGCTCTGCCATCCATGGGTATTAATTAATACGAGTCGGCAATTGGATAAAGTCCCATGGTTCCAGCCGTGGTGCCCGGATTAGGCGGCACTCGCTAGTGTTGACTAAACACTACAACTAAACCGAAGTGTTGACACAGTTACGTGTCGATATTTGAGTCTACTCATCTTTGGGCAAAACTGAATTATAAGTGAAGGATAAAATTACTACAAAAAAGTCAAGAATTACATCTTTCATAAAAGAATGCCCAAAAGGTCAAATGAATTTTGTCAGGCCAATGCATTTTTAAAAAGGCCACATTTGCAAAAATTGGCCTGAAAAAGGCTCATCTGGCAACACTGATTGCGGTAATTCCTGCAAATAGATTTCAGCTTGAATGAATAATTTTCTACTTCTTAAATAGAGATCTTTGTTGTTTGTCATTTTTTTATCTGTGAGATAATAACATAACCAAACGAAATTGAAAAATAAATTACACGTCTACACATTTCAACCATGAATTTAACGACAACTGAATTACCAAAATACTATACATCATTAATACCCCTGATTATATTCCCTCCTGATTATATACCCCTGATTATATGATTATAATACTCAAAAGCTTGTTAGAAAAGACTTCAACCGTAGGTACATTTAGCTTTCCAATTACAAAACCATGTTCATACCTCGGTCTCAGTGGCTCAGTGTGCTCTGTGTGTCGCTTCCAGTAGCATGCGAGCACCGAGCCCTCCGGTGTCCTCAATTAACAAATAAAGTTGTACCTAAGCTTTTGTTAAAAGTGGCATTTATTTTTTTAACAATTCAATTCGCTTGTCATATAATAAGGATGTAAATGCAAATTATTTATTTTGCATGAGTCATAACCGTTCTGCACACTGGAAGAATTGTAATTTCAATGTTTGTTCATAACTTAATTTCGACACGACTATAATTATTAGAATATTAAATTGTGTGTAATTATTTCTCAATTGCAATATGTTAGTTCAGATAGTTGATAAGTGGCAGTAACGTAAATTCTGAGACAGTCAGAGCTATGAAAAAAATTTGTCCAGCTCATTAAAAAAATATTTTTAGATAATTCTTATTTTGCGTGACACTTAATTAGTAAATAGCTTTTATTTTGTTGTGTTTTTTTTACAATTTTGCAAGCAATTTTTTATATCTGATATTTTTAGCAAAGAACGTGCGCTCGTTTGTGAATAATGGGAGCTCTGAAATAATTAAATGAATAGTCTTCCTAGTGCACATGATGTACAGGAAACTAAATGCATATTTGTTAGTGGCGTTTATAAACAGCAGCTGTTTCGGGCTTGTCGCGCACGTTCAGTAGGGATGTGACTAGTACCTGCGCTGAGGTTAAAGAAAAATAAAAAATGTGTACTTTTAGCGCAGAATAATTTTTTATTCCAATGAGTACAATAATCAAATTTATCATTTGTGTCCCAAAAATGTAGAGAGCTCATTAATGCATAATTCGCAAAAAAAATATTATTTATTACATTATTATTATTACATTTTTATTGCGGAATTCGCAAAATGCGCTCAAATACGAGGATAGTGAGTTCTACCCTGATTCCTGCTTGACCTCGAAATAACAGAAACCGCATCGTTTCTATTTTCCTCAATGGATTAATCAAGAAAATTTCTTTGGTGAGTTGAAACTTGAGCGGTGACAAGTTCTCCCTACAAGCCGCGGTGCAGTATGAGGGCCGTGTTGCTGATGGTGCTGCTGGCCCTCGCTCTCCCTTCAAGTCCTGCCTTTAACTATAACATTTTTCGATGGCCTACCTTCAAGTATTATAAAGTACCTGATGCACTTCAAGGCCTCACTGACTTTAAAACAAAAGCATTGGACAGCTTATCTGAACTAAAACGTCCTCTTGTAAAAGGATTTAAAAACTTGAAGGAACAAGTTCTGGATTTTAAGAAGAGTTTATTCAGTAAAATTGATTCACACAGTGAAAACGAAGATGAATATTCATATTCACACGAAGGTTCCAGTTACGATAGAAGCCCTGAATCCGACTATGAACAGTCTTCGTATTCTTCGGGAGATCCTCATGGATACATAAAGTTAGATTTACGACCTTTTATGTGGCACGGAGAAGCTCAAACCGACTCTCATTATAATAATAATGATAATTATAATAATGATAATAATAATAACAACAACCACCATGGGTTAGAATCTGTCTCGGCAAACGGCGCTGCATTTGGGACCAGTTTTAACCTAAATTATGGACCATCTGCTGCTGCTCGAGAGTTCCGTACACCTCAACCGCTCGTGAGAAAACCAGTTTTACCTTCTTCAAACGACAAGACTGCTCACCCTTCCCGGCACCATGTGCCACCCATAGCGATGAGTTATGGATCTCAAGGTTTCAAAACATCTACACCACAAGCTGCTGTTGGCGGTTATCAAAATATTAATGCTCCTCTCTCTGCTGCCATGGCGATGGGCCATATTCTCACGGATGAACAATCGATTTTCTCAGGGGAGGCCCAAGCTAATGAGATAGGAAAGTGGCGTCCGCTATTCAGGCCATCACTATCCCTGCCACAACAGCAGCTGACGTCTCCGGCCAGCGTCCAATCCAACGCATTGAACTCGGTTCCTGAAGTCGCAGTGAATGATCTGAAGGGCGACCACCGCCACCGCCCTGATTCGAGGGTAACTGGTTTCGGCACCGGGAACTTTCCTGCTGCCCAGGTCACTGGCTCCGGAATCTATTCAGTACCGTCGTCTACTGGCTCCGGCAGCTCCCAAGCACATTTCACTGGAGCGCAATTATCTCAGAACGATCTAATAGCAGCCGGACTTCCTTCCAGCGTCCTCCTTGTGTCCGACGACAGCCAAGCTGACATTGATACGTCACTCAATGTTTTGCCAAATTTACTTGAAAGTCCTACAACTTTGGATCCTTTAAAGTCTGCGGCTACTACACCGGCAACCTATATCAATTCGGTTGCTATTCCGAGTCAAATACTTACCCAACCTTTCCATTCTTCACACGACAACTCGGTAGTGAGTAAATCCCCTTCTGAAGTGGGCGCATCGTCTCTTGAAATCGACCACTTTATGAAAGCCGAAGGGGCTCTAGGGAAACTAGTTGATGGAACCCTCCTGCATGACCAGTCACAATTAACACCTTCTGGAGTCGTTCAGATGAACGCTCTGGGTGCTGCACCACAGGAGCTTGTTTGGCCGCCGGTGAGACAAAACCCACAGTCTGGCAGGAGTATCGATACAGGAGCACAAAATTTCCAAAGCAATCATCAAAATACCTTCGGCAGCAGAATCACGAGACAAAGCGTCAACGAGCCGACGACCGCTCATGGACCTTCACGGCTGTTCTCCGACCTGATGAACGACCTGCAGCTGAACGCCATGATGANGTTAATTGATGATCCATTCAACGTGGCTTTAAATAGATGATTTTTCCTTATTTATCCAAGTCGCGAATGGAATAAACCAAGGAAATTGGTTAAAGTGGAAACATCTTTCTGTTTATACGACAAATTCGCAAGAAATTAACTCAAATCTACACATTTAAAAACCAGATAAATTTATTGAACAATATATACTCTGCCAAACGCTCTTCTAGTTAAATTCAAACCAATAAGTTCATTAGTCGAGAATTTTACATAAAACACGTGAATAATTAAAATTCGCCAAATTTCTCATTTATAAAACCATAATAACCACTAATAATTGAGCTCCATACTCAGGTGTGGCTACACGCAAACACGCAGCTGCCGCTTGCCATATGCCTCGCCTCGAAACTCTGGTCGCCAGGCCTGCTATCCACTTTCAATTTCCTAATGAATTGCCAGCACTGCGTTCCCTGCGTATTAGTTGGTGTCGTCCTGGGCTGGGCGCGTATACTGTGCGTAAATTGCGTGACTTGACTGTGGAGAGTCACTCTCCACAGTCAAGTCACACAATTTACGCACAATTCTCCAGCCGAGTCACGCAATTTACGCATTAATCTCCAGTCAAGTCACGCAATTTACGAACAAGTCTCCATGCAGTCAAGTTAAGCAATTTACGCACAAGTCTCCTCGCACAATTTGCGTGACTTGACTGGAGACTTGCGTAAATTGCGTGACTTGACTGGAGACTTGTGCGTAAATTGCGTGACTTGACTGGAGACTTGTGCGTAAATTGCGTGAATTGACTGGAGACTTGTGCGTAAATTACGTGA